CTAAGACGACGGGGGTTCGTCCGTGAAAATGAGGGAGAGTTAACAGCGTGTAAACTCTGTCGAGACGAGAATGGAAAGGGGTGGGAAGAAGAAGAAGAAGAAGAAGAAGAAGAAGGAGGAGGAGGAGGAGGAGAAGGAGGAAAATTTCGTTAAGCATCGGAGCGTTAAGGAACGATTGTCGTTAAGTTTAGTGGCACGTTCTCGTAACGCTCGAAGGAGATCGTAGGAAATAGAGAAGGAAAAGTTGGTGGAGAAAAAGGAGGTGGAGAAGGAGGAGAATTAAGAGAAGGGATATTTCCGTGTAGAACTCTTGCGTCTCTTCTATGTCCACGTTACTGCACGGATACGGTCAATGACTACTTTTGCGCTTCTAAAAGGACTAAACGTTTATCGAGCGATATTGGCGAAACACACAGATACACACCAAGTGATACTAATACTCTCCTATCGACAAGACGAAGAAGAAAAAGGAAGAAGTAGAAGCTTTTTCGCTTCGAAAAGTAGTTTTCACCGTACACTTGAGGTAAATCTATAAATCCGTATGATAAAAGAGTAATGATGAGGTAAAGTACTCGAAAAAAAAAAAAAACATTCACACCTTACATTTCACCTTATTTCATCGTAATGTTTGAATATTGAAATAATAAAAAGAGAAACTTGAAAGATTACTTATTTTTTCTCTATTTCTATACGTAAATATTATTTTACGTGTATTCATTGAATATTTTGTTATTAATTATTATTTCCCATATAGCTCGTTAATTATTGCGAAATATTTCTTAAATAATACACAAACAAATAATTCGACATACGTTACGTTACGTTCGTTAGTTAGATTTCTCTTTTATTACGTTAAAATTAATAAATTTTTTTTTTATTTTACAGATATATTTATTATACATCGTATAATAAACAGAAGAATAATAGTCTTTTGATACATGTATTTTTCTTTTTTTTTTTTTTTTGAAAACGATATACATACGTATTAACGTGAAATTAATATGAACGCAAATGAATTGTACGTCGCTGTAGTAACAAGATAAAGAATGAAAAAGCGGACAACAAAAAAAAAAATAAAAGTTTACCTCGACGTTTATGATTTTTTAGCATTCAAACGTACGTTTATATTTCCTCTAGAAAAGTAATATCTATACATATATTGTTAACGTATATCAAAATGAGTACACTGTTGGATAAAAGTTTGATATCGTTTGTAAAATCAAATATACCTATCAAATTTTTAAATGATTTATCTTTACTAAATAAAATATTATTAAGTTGTAATAATATTTTCTTATATTCAAATATAATTATGTTCAAATATAGTTTGTATCATCTGATTTGGGACAATGCTCGGAATGGAACATTTCTGCTGGGATATTTTTAGCAACATCTACAAAAAGTATAGGAAAATATTCAATTAAAAATACTCTAAAAATTAATTATCAGAATGACCAGAATATCTTAGACTAATCCTTAAAAATAAAGAGAATCCTGTTTCTTATGAAGGGACAATTTTTAAAAAAATATTCATCCCTTGATAAAAAAAAAAAAACATATTACTCATAAGTTTTTCGACAAATAAATTTAGCTCGTTTACTTCCATGGTATTTATTTTTTCTTATAAAAAACCAATTATTCTAAATTTACGTAGTTTTTTCCAAATAGTGTATAGATGTATTTATAAAATAAAAAAGGAATGTACCTATTGTTAAATAAATGAATATGTTTGAAAAATAATTATTATTATATATTTAATTAAAATATATGTTATATATTTTAAATATATAATATCCTAATATATATAAATTACGTGTCACGTTGTTTGTCCGCAATGGACTCCTAAACTACTAAACCGATTTTAATAAAATTTTGCACAATGTGTGCAGTTTCATCCAACTTGAAAGATAGGATAGTTTATATCTCAATTTATAATCAAATTATTTGTTTATTAACAAAGAGTCATGATTATCTCTGTTAGTTCGATAAGATTCTAACAGATAGCGGTAGAAGGTAATTCGTTGACTTAAAGACGTGTGTATCGGACTGATTGTGAGCGAAAGCAACGCGTGGCGGGGCACCCCTAGTTACATATATAAATATATTTGAATTAAATATATAAATAAATATATAGTAACATTATATAGTAAATAAATATATAAATACTTTAGAGAGTAACGCGTAAATTTTCTAATTCGCCACGATTTTTCTATCGCTTCCCTTGCTCGATGTTTTTCTGATTGATCGAGTATATCTACGCAGTAGTATAGTACATACATACATATATATATATATACATATACATAAAAACGTATATCGATGGCATGTGACGTGTGCTATCGTCGGACGATCACGAAAAATTTCACCTTCGAAAAGCATTCGTCTTTTTTCACATTCGTATTTCTCGCATACCTGCTACGTATTTTTCGTTGAAAAAAAAAAAAAAGAGTCAGAGAAAAAGAATGTGTGTGTGAGAGAGAGAAAGAGAGAGAGAGAGAGATATATATATATATATAGAAAAAGAAAAAAAAAAAGAAAAGACATAGTTTTGAACGTACAACACGCGAATTACGAGGAACACTTTTGAAGCAATGTTTCTTTGTCCTTTTTTTTTTTTTCTCTCTGTTTTATTAGTTTTGTTCAACTGGGGAATACCAAAAATTGCGCACGGTGTTTTGCTCACTTTACGACAAGAGCTGTAACCTTTTTTTTCTCACCAAGTTGCATTATGAGACGATTCTACGATTGCTTGCATCAGGACAATGAAAAAGATAGAAGGATTAATTAAACAAAAAATATTTACATATATAAGAATATATATATATATATATATATATATATATATATATATATATGTATGTATTTAAATAAAAACTGAGAGAAAGACAGAGAAATAGGAAGAAAGAAAGAGACAGTTATATAGAGAAAGCGAAAAATATTTATGCATTCGAGTTTCGCTTGGTGTGATACGTGCTATTCATAGAATGGAATGTCTAAAGCATGTAAACGCAAACGTTCCATGATCTTCCACTATATGACGGGTTATAACATTTTTTTTTCATGTTGACCATAAAATAAATACTCAAGTCTCCTCTCTATATTTCATTTTGCCTTTTGTCAATTTTTCTATCATTTTTTTTTTTTTTTCTTTAATTTTTACTGAACGATTATATAAAAAGATGGAATAGAAAAAACAATATGAGAAGAAAAAGAAAAAAACAGATATATATATATTTTAAGAGAAAAGTTTGATTCGTCGATCGTTTTAACTTCCCACATGTTTATCAATGAAATCCTCGATAAGCGAAATGTTTTTCACGCTTTGATAAATTAATTTCGAATTTTCAGTTCACTTAGGTATTAGTTTTGCATGTTTTTCAATATTCGCCAAATAAACTAACGGCAAACTTAAGATAAAAAAAATATAATGGATATTTGTTTGTATTTAAGAGAAAAATAAATCGATAATTCTTTAAATAAAAACTCATTTGATATATTAAAAAATATGTTTTATCTTTTATTCAACAATTAACAAAAAATTGCTAATGATAAAAAAATAGTATTATTTAAAAAAAAAAAAAATAAGTATATTTGTGTTTGTTATTATAAAAAAAATGACTGTTAAATAAAACAACAATATGTCAAAATATATTTGAACGTAAAATATGTCATTAATAATGAGATAACTTTCATAATCATCAAACATAACGTTCAATATATTATTATTAAAACGTTACTGTAATATTTTGTCATAATTATACACTATAAACATGAACAATTGAAAGGAATTTTTAATTATTAATTTCACTAATGCAAATTTTTATGGAGAAGAAAAAAAAAACAATTAATGTTAATTACATTTTTTCATTGTACAAAGAATTGATTAATATTTGATTCTAAGAGTAAGAAAATTAGACGTATAATAAATAGGATACTACTGGTTTTTGCTTACTTTCAATAACGGGTTAAAAGTAAACTTAAAAGAAATCACAGTAAGAAAGTGAAAGAACTTTTATCTTTTTTGGTGGTCCACTTGTCCAATATCACTGTCGGATGTTAAGTGAGAGAGAATTTCTTCTACGAAACGTTGCTACGTTATTTTCAATAGCATTTGAGAGCTAGTCTACAAAAATAGAACACTATTGAAGATAGACGATTTTAAAGAAAACACACACACGGTGGTATCTTTGAACTTTTCATCAAAAGGCTTCTTTTAAAAAGTATTTTGACAAGAGAAAAGTACAACGACGATTTACCTTTGACAGCCGATCTATACTTTAGGAAAAATGTAAAGTATAGTAGGTAATACATACAATAATTTTCATATATATATATACATATACGCATACGTATGATCTCTTTAAATACGTTAGCCTTCTAAGGAGTTATCGTAAAGTCAGAAACACACTTTTCCTCATTTTTAACATTTTTCAACATAAATCATAAATTTTCTCCCAACCATCAACGATTTATCATTGTCCAGAAGCATACTATTAAAACTGTTCACGTAATACTAAACATACGAAAACGTGGACTCCCTATTTATATGTATATACGTATGTATAAATAATATATACATTTAGGTATATTTATGTACACATACATACACAATTTACTCACGGGCTGCTTGAAAAGTCACGATTACCAACCGCGAACGTGTGCTTCGCGTTTCAAAGTTGAACGAACGAGCAAACGCATGGATGGGAATAAACTCACTGAAAACTTCAAGTATTCCGTTCATTTTCATTCTTCATATTCTGGAACGAGTATATGTGTATGTGCGTAAATTAAATCAACATTGATTAAATCAAGAATATTAAAAAAAATAATAATAAAATTAAAGACAAAGACGAACTTCGATTTGTGATGAAATTCGATTGATTAATAATTGAAGGACGAATTTTATATAAATAAAAAAAAATAAAAAAAAAAATAAAAGATAAGTTGTTTGATATCAACTTTCATTTTTTTTTTCATCCTTTCTGTCTGTCTGTCTCTGTCTCTTTCTCTTTCTCACTCTTTCTCTCTCTCTCTCTCTCCCTCTTTCAAAATTTCCAGCGGATATTATCGAAATTAAAAAAGTTCTGGATGGAGAGGTTTTTCTCGCAAAGTGACTGCATTAGCAAACCATCCGAAACGTTTTGCGATGACAACCAATTCAAAGGATGTTGTATGCCATTGCAAAAAATTCAATCCCCGTGCACACCAATCATAACCTTAGCAACTAAAACGAAATGTGTTACGTTGCGACTCATTATTACATTCATTTTATTAATTTTAATAATGGCTTGCATTTATCGAATATCAGGACAAAATTTACCACGTTTGTCGTATCGACGAAGGATTGAAGAAAACCCACGTTTGGGTGAAACTTCGATTCCAAATCCGAATCCAACTTTGAATCCAAACTCAAAACCACATTCTGATGAAACCGATGAGACACAGGAAACTCTTACTAATCTTGGTAAGCTCTTTTAGAAATGTTCTATTTTATTTCAATGAAGATTGATTTATCAATGTAGAAAAGAAAAAGAAAAATATCATTCCTTTTTTTTCTTTTTTATATTTCTTATCGATGTACATATTTTTAAAGAGAAAACTGAAGATACAAATGTGGATAAATGAAATTTACGACTCATTGTAAAAACAAAGTAGAAAATTTACACAGGATATATTATCGGTGAGTTATTATACTACTCGTTTTTAATTACATTTTAATGAAATCTTTTTTTCATATCAATAAAACGTATAAGATCATGTTGTTTTAACTATTAGTTTTCCATCCATCTACACTTTTTACATTATCTTTGTAAAAATATTGAAAGAAAGATAGACCAGTATTATTAAGATAACGTACATATACCTAGGTATTACATTACATATACAGATATATGTATAAACGTATGAACGACAATATCGATACATTGATATTGGGATTGGAAAATTTTATCTCTAAACGTTCGAAGAGAGCACGATGAAAGAAAGAACCTCAAACTGAAGTTTATTTTTATTTAGAACATATGCACGTGAAAATTTACTAATATGCAAAAGTATTCTATCGTACTATGTGTAAATTTAAAGAAAAAAAAAAAAAAAAAGAAAGAAACATGAAGAAAATCAAATATATTAAGACTGTATAAATAATTAAATTAAAATATTACATTGTACCTTATGTAAATTTGAAAGAAGTAAACACATTGATATACCGAAGTATCTCATTTATCTTTTGTACCCTCTTACACTAGTTTCTTCTGTATTCTATTGTATATTTTCTTGTAAGATACAAGCGACGTAAAAAACATTTTTTTTTCGTAAAACACCAAATGTATATAACGTTATTTGAACAAAATATGAGAATAGTTATTTACATGAAATATTTGACTTTATTTAAATTTGTCCATTGTCAAATTACTTTTGTAAAATATATTTGAAATGAAAGTATAAAAACACAAGAAACTGAAAAAGTATACAAAATAAATTAAACATCCTATATACGAGGAATTTTTATTTTTCGAAATAAAAATTAGTTTAACTAAAGCATAATTGTTGTTCTGTTAAATTCAAAAATTTGCAACGTTTATAAATTGTATTTACACTATCAATCAAAATTATTTGATCACCTTAAAAAATGATAGCTAAAATAAGTACTGTATCCAACTTTTCATAATATTTTTACAAAAAATCAATTATTTCTTCAAAAAATTATTAATTATATAATTAATTAGATTTATTAATTACGTTGAATTAGTTACGAAAAGAATAAATCGAGTGATATATTTTTTGAGACAGCTTAGATCTTCAGACATTGTACTTAAAAATGCAGAAAGATATCACAGCACATTTCTGAAAGTCATAAAACTAGCAAACAAACAGATCAAACAACCCAAGTATACTTTTCTATCGCAATATAGTTTTCCACTACGAAAAACATCAACTTTCTGCATCAATATGACTATGGGGGTGAACTTTTCTACTATTGAACAGTCAACCTAGAGAAAAGATGACAATCATTTTCTTGTTACAAAAATCCTTGAAACAACACCACATTATTCACATCAAGAAGGAATATTCATATCATTAGAAGAACAGCAAAGTGTACATCAGCTCATAGCAATCATAACATCAAGAACAGTAAGCAGTACATCATCAAGCAGCATAATTAGAGCATCAAATCAACAATCATCAGATCTGCAGAACACAGCAGCAACCAACATCATAACAACATATAATACAACAGCATTTACCTATAAATAAAGAACAAAAGAACCAATAAGAGCTACGGTTGTTCAACATGTTATCTTTCATCAAAACATTTTACATATTAAAATATATTATATTATTATTTATATTTCTTTTTGTTCATTTTGATAACTGAAAGATTTAAAACACTTGATCCATTGCTGAACAATTTCCTTATTCGTAAAATCATTTTCAAGTAACAAATGAAAATAATTTAACGAATTTGATGATAATTGTTCAATCAATCGTTCACGCGTTATCGAAAAATATTCATTTCTAACAGCGTCAACATAGATCATCAATAATTCTTGAAGGAAACGTTGATTTTCAGATGGTGTTGGAATATTCATCATCAAAATGATAACAAGTTCGATAGCAGGCGAGCAATATCTCATTGTTTGCCAGTCGATCATTTTCACATCAATTGGTCGACCGTTCTTCTCGCGTTTAAACAACACCTTGCTTTTCGAAAAATCACCATGACATATGCATGAGATATCATCGATATTTCTATTAGTTTCTTTAGAAGTTTCCATAAAAACCTGATTACTTTTCCATAATTTTTTCATTTCTTTTACCAACAACGAATTTTCTAAGGATTCATCGATTTCATCAACTCTGTAAAAATGAAATGAACATTACATTAATTTAAGATATGTGAGCATTGAATAAAAATATAATTGTCATTATTTAAAATGATAAAAAAAAATAATTTGTAAATTATAAAAAAATGATGAGATGTGTAATCGTTCGTTATGTGACTTACTTTTCAGAAATATCATTGGTAACGATAATATTCGAAAGTTTCATGTAAAATTCGCGAAAATGTTCAAACTTTTCTGTTTTCAATCTCAAACCAGTCCCATGAAACCTTCCAAGAGTTTTCAAAGATAACTTTAATTCTTCATCGTTCATCTGACGTTGTTGCTGAATCGTTTGATATCCATTCGCAGTTAAATCCTCGAGAACGATAACCGGCATTCCGTATTTTCCCAAATCCGCAACATAACACTTTGGAAACTGATCTGTATTATATACCGAAGTCATTTTACTGTAAAACATTTCTTCATTTTGAAAACGTGCGAATGAATTTTCCGATTGAACAGTCGTCGGAAGAAGCTTTATGATTAAAGAAAAATCTTGAATTTCACCAGAAAATCTAATAAAAGCTTTGACTCGATATAATTCCCATGGTTTTGTCGAATTTTTATATGTTTCGAGTAATTCAACAATTGCTGAATCGAATTCAACGAATTCACGTGAACCTGATTCGCAGAAACATCGATTATAAACCATTTCTGGTAAAAGATCCGTTTTAATGAACTTTATATTCTCTTCTTGCAATTCTTTCATCATCATCGTCGTTGTCGTCGTTGTCGTCGTCGTCGTCGTCGTCGTCGTCATCATAATAAAGCTTAAACGTGTATGTATACTCTTTGATTATAAAGATATAGTTCGTTTTCATTCGTATATATATATACGCTGGTTTTAAAATGAAAAGACTGAAATAAAATACTGAGAGCAATTAAGGACAGTAACGATAGTGGCAGTGGCAGCGGTGGAAGTGATTGCGGCCTCCTTCTCGTTGAAACTCGTTTAAGTTTTCGTACGCTCGTAAATTATACTAACTTTTTCGATGGCGACTCGACTCGACATATATACGCATACACATACAAACACTCACATATAGATATATATATATATGCACATATATGTATACACACAATTTAAAACGTGCTTCCCGTGTTTCCGCAAAAATCGAACGATGATAACAGTTATCTTTCTGGAATATCTGCCGAGTTTAATTTGGTCACACTGACACTGGTTAGTATATACCACGTGTTAAGTGTATAAGTATATATATAGAACTTTTGAGTAAATTATTCGCGGAGTAGCAAACAGCATATAAATTTCTCGTCGAACTTGTCCGTTGATTCTCTCCTTCGTAGATTTAAAAAAAAAAAAAAATTTCGCGAAATAAATCGCTTTTAAAAATAACTATTTTAAGCCAGTTGAAACTTGTAATTTTTATTAACACGTAATTCTGTAGATATATATTTCCAATGGGATATTACTTTCTATGATAGACGTTAAACGACATTTAACGATTACATTTTCCATTAAGTACTTGAATATTTATCGGTGCACTATTATATTTCGTTAATCGTACGTCAGTATTATATCGATATAAAAGATTATATCGGACGATCGATTTAACTATTATTTTTTAAAGAAATATGTCATTTTCTCCGAGGAATATTTTCAATAGTACAAAATGTAACGTTTTAATTATTGTATCTCAATACATCATATAATCGATTTTTACTGATAAAAATTTAATCGTCATTCAATATCAATCATTTAAACATCTCACAATCTTCTATGTATTCACTTATTTTTCTTAAATTATTTATATTATTTATTATTGTTTAATAATGTACGTGATCACTAATTTTGAATAAAATTAAATTGACGAGAGAACCAACACCAGGAACGAATAAAACACATGATTTCTTCTCAAACACGAGTACATAAATCTATGTACATAAATAATTAACGTAATATTTATTTTATTACAGTTGTAGTAACATCGTGTAATGTATTATATTAGTACAACGAAACGAGAACTGATGTGAGACTGAATATAAACTTCGTACAGTATGTTTTCCCCTACTAATCGTCCAGTTTCGAAATAACAAGCCGTTCACATCTCACAATCAATGTCGTCACAAACAAGTTTACGGCTCGTCGCTTCGTCTACAACCATACAGTTATCAGTGAACGTTATGCTAGATAACAAACGGTCTTGTGTTTCATGATTGATAAATTGATATATTCCACTTTTCCAATATTCATGATTCAATATTAATAATTATATAAAAATAATTCATATATATATATAATATAATATAATATTATTATATAGTAGAATACAATATAATATTAGATATACTTTAAATGATTGTTAATTAATCGATGGAAACATTTATTGCAACCTAGAAGCACGGAACCGTCCTCTACGAAGGTTGTTGTTCGACTGATAGTTTGACAACAGTATATGAAAATTGATCAAAGTTTTTTTTTTATTGATTTTTCCTTTTATGACTTTACCAAGAAAATAATAAGAATAATATTTGTATTTAATTGAATTTAAGATTGTAATTATTTTATTTTAACGTTGTTTGAATGTTAATATTATTATTTAAATAAAAATACACATACACGAAGTTCCTAAAAGCAACAACCCTAATTATCAATGAAGTATAAAGAGTTATCTACTTTCAGGCGCTACGTATGTTTATACATATTAATAATTTTTTATATTTATATTAATTAATTAGAGAGATATTTTTATGATACTTTAAAAAATGTATTGTCAGTGATTCATTAAAATCGAATTATTTAATGAAATGTAAATAATTGATATAACGATATTATCATCGATCTTTTTATTACTGATACTTACCAACTTCAAATCCATAATAAAAATACAAATTTACATAATCCAAAAATCATGTTTCAAAATTACAAGTAAACTTTAATAAATTCATCTGAAATGTTTTTATCATTATCTGTTAAACATCCGTGTAACATCGATCGTACTAATATCAATATATCTTAACAAAAAAAAATATTAACATATTATCAATGAAATAATAAAAATATAAAACGATAAGATTTTGATGTCACAAATGAATCCTTGTCAATCAACAATACCTTTACAAACTAATCCAAATAATTTTCAAACGTATCAGCAAACGAGTAACCAACAAAGCACGCAATGCTCCGGCTGCCCTGGGAATTCTCAAGGTAATTCGATCAGAGAAGCCTCGTAACTTGTCCGTTCGTTCGTTCGTTCGTTCGTTCGATCGATTATTTAAATAGAATTTATTCACTTCAGGACAATATACGCAAGGTCCGTTCAGCCAATTGTACCAACAAGAAGGTTATTTGTCAGGACAATATCCTTGTACAACGCAACTGCCAACAAATACTAATAATCCTTGCCAAGGGATTCCTTATCAAAATCCAACGTGTAACGTAAATTCACCAATGCAGACTCAAGCAGCTAATTGCGGACCTTTACCCCAAAATATAATCGATCAGATTCGTTCTTGTATTGCTAACACAACACCGATATTTATTATTCCTGGTGGTGGTTGTCAGCAACCGACGATAACTACTCAACAAACAGCTTCAACTCCGGGTATATTTAATCCTTTGACAACTGTGAGTAATCAATCTTCGGGTATTCCAAATTATATTTCTTCGTCACAACCACCACCGATCTGTCCACCTTCTTTCTATCCTTATCCAATTCCTTTTCCTATATTCGATCCATTCGGATCTAACAAAAGAGAACAACAAAAGAATTGTGGTTGTTCTACGAAAAGTAATGCAGAATTGATTGGATTAAGACAATGTCCACCTTTATCTTATTGTAATAATTCTTGTCAAGAGGAGGAACATCGTTGTTCGGAAACCACAGATGACACCATTTGTTCCAAAAGAAATTGTCCCTCAGCAATAAGTCTTCAAGCTTTAGCATCTCAATTGTTGTCCATACAAGGTATCGTTTCTTGCACAGCTACCCGATTAATTCTCAGAAAGATACCAGGATCGAATATAACAACGTCGATGGAAGACACCATGGAAAGAGCTCAAAGATCTATCAACGTTCTCAACAAGGATCAATTGTTAGTTGAGTCGAGAAACTCTCAGCAAGTGAACGCTCTGATAAATCTTCACATGACTGCAAATCCACCGGCCAACATAATCCCGATTCTAACGTTGGTGCAGCTTAAAGTGAACGTTTTGAAGGCACTAGTCGAAAATCTGATCAATAGAAAATTGATGGAAAATCAGGGTTTAGAGGTAGGATATACAATTTTCTAGTTAAGAGAGTATTAATGATCGTTAAAATTTCATTTCGTTAACAATCGTTAGCAAATTGATCATCAATTTAGGTAGAAGCTACCGATTCGATCGATCCAACAATTCTCGCCTTGAAGACCGATGCTGAACTTCGTGAATTTTTGGCTATTTTAAAACAAAAAGAATGCGACGAAAGAGTGAACCTCAATTTTGCGCCATATCGTTCTCAACGAGTCATCGCTGAGAACAGATTGAGTAACGTTCAGAAAAAGATTCAGCAAATCGAGCTTGAATTTGAGAGAAGAAGATGCAACGTTGTACCATCTATACCAATCTCTTCTAGAATCGTACGAGAATTTGCCGAAACACCTTGCAATTTTTCAAACTTAGGTTATCCAGGTCTGATGAGTCCAACGATACCAGAAAGAACTGAAGAATCGCAAAAATCTCCAGATCCTTTTGCGATTACTTTCAAATGTCCGAAGAAACTTCGACTTAAACCTCACGTTGGTAGTCCCGAAGTAAGTTACGATTATACGAGCAAAAAACCAACACAAAGAGAATCCACGAGCAACGAAAAAAGTTCTCAGAGCGAACCAACAAAGGATAAAAAACGCGTTGATCGTCCGAGTCGTGAGACTTGTACCTGTTACGAAGGAAGCTCCTCAGAAGAGAGTTTGGAGGAGGATAAAAAAAAACTTCAACTAAAAATCGACGAGAGAGGAAACGTGACCGTAACGAGCAACGCTAAACTTAAAGATGTGTCCTTCATGAAATTGGCATCAAACGTTTCTCTTCAAACGAGAAAGCCCAATGACGACGTTTTCGAAAAGAGAGATCGTAAAGTGAAACCCACACCAAGCGAAATAGATTCGAAGGATTTCCGTGAAACGTCCTTGCTCGTTGTTCCGAAGGTCGAAGAAATCTACGAGGTAACTCAAATCGGTGAGCCTTCAGCTAACATCGACATCGATCTTGTGGCAGACGTGAAAGCGTACGACACGGTTAGTGAAAACGAAAGGGAAAGTTTCGCGAGAGCTCGCTTGACTTTAGAAGAGTTCAAGGTCGACGCTGATACCCTCAAGGACAAGAAGGAGGAAACGAAAGTCTCTATATCCGATGTTAATGTTATTAATAGCGAGAAAGCAAAAAATAAGACTGCTAATTCTAAAATACATTTTAAAGAGTTGACCACTTTAAATGATAAAGAGGTTCAAATTCCAAACAGTAAATTAGATAAGATAATAACGAGTATCAAAGAAGAGCCTATAGAACCTGATAAGGTAAAAACCAATGCATATATTGAGGAATCTGAAATGGAAATTTCAACGAATAATTTGGAAGAAAAATTGTCCTCCATTAAAGAAGAGAAAAACGAAGTTTTAAAATCTGAGGTGGCTGAGAGTAAAATCACGAAGAACTTGGAATACGACGATATCATTAAATCAGAAACAACAGACGAAACAGAGAGAATGATCGAAGTTGGGAAACCTAAGGAAACATTCGTAGGAACGGCAAGTATTAAAATTGAACCTCCAGAAGTTGACGAATCGGAAACGAATGATTACACTGAAGAAACTACTCCAAGCAATTCGAAAATTGTGGATGAATTTCTAGAAAAACCACAGAGAACATTCGTAACGACCTTCAAAATCGATAATTCGATAAAACCGAAAGATGAAGATGAAGCCAAAGGAATGCTTGAAGTTAAGAAACCTAAGAAAACGTTTGTAACAACGGCAAGTATTAAAATTGAACCTTCAAAAGTTGATGAATCGGAAACGAATGATTACACTGAAGAAACTAAGTCGAGCAATTCGAAAATTGTGGACGAATTTCGAGAAAAACCAAAAGAAACATTCCTGACTACTTTCAAAATTGATAATTCGATAAAACCTGAAAATAAGAGACCTAAAAAAACATTCATTAGTACAGCAAGTATCAAAATTGAACCTCCAAAAAATGATGAAGTGGAAAATGATGAAAACATTAAAAAAATTGCAAGTAAAAGTTCAGAACTCAGCCATGAATTTTGGGAAAAACCAAAGAAAACATTCTTGACAACTTTAAAAATCGGTAATTCGACAAAACCCGAAGATAAGAAACATAATAAAACATTCATTAGTAGAGCAAGTATCAAAATTGAGCCTCCAAAAGTTGATGAACAGGAAGCAGATGAATATACTGAAGAAATTATGGGAAAAAGTTCGAAAATCGCGAACGAACTTTCGGAAAAACCAAAAAAGACTTTCGTGACTACTTTGAAAGTCGGTAATTCGACAAAACCTGAAGTTGAGAGACCTAAGAAAACCTTCATTAGCACAGCAAGTATCAAAATTGAACCTTCAAAAGTTGACGAACAGGAAACAGATGAATATACCGAAGAAACTACGACGAGTAGCTCGAAAATCGCTGACAACCTCTTCATAAAACCAGAGAATAAATTTCTGACTACTTTAAGAATTGGTAATTCGATAAAACCCGAAGTTGAAGATAAAAAAACGAAGACGATTGAAAGCGAAGATTCAAAGAAAACTTTTGTATCAAAGGCGTTCATCAAAATCAATCCCGAAAATTACGATGATAGACAACTCGAGTCAAAAATATTTAAAGAAAATTGGAAAGAAATGAAAATCAATTTAATCAAGAATGATGTCAAAGAAAATGAAGAAAAGATAGATTCAACCGTGAATAGGACAAAATCATTTGACGATTTATATCAATCGAATTTTGTTTTGGAAAGAACCGATGAAAAAAGTCAAAAGAATAGCGTAAATACGAATACAGTTGCGTCAATATCCATAGGAAAGGAAAAAGATGAAGAGAAAATGTCGAAATTTTCAACTGAGAAAGGAAGAAAGGAGAAAATCGTGTCAATGTTGACAGAGATTAAATACGACGAACCCGAAGCAATCGCCGAGCGATTTCAAAGCGCGTTGACTCGAAATTTTCAGTTGGATAACGATGTCATCGATCGATGTTGCGAGGCGAAATACGAGAAGACTGAAACTGGGAACTACTACTATACGATGGCTTTGGCTTGCCCAGAAAATCGCTTTCCATGGAGAATCGGTAAGTCCTTGCTAATCGCGTGCAAATAAATCACGGATAATTAACGGATTTTCGATGATTCGAGAGGGCATGGGGTAAGGGCGTATGGGGTAGTAGACCTTATAAAAAGAAATGAAAAATAAAGATTATATTGATAGGAAAAAGAAATTGCTCGGAAAATGAAATGAATCGAACAGAGGGAAATAAAAATTTCGTTAGTTCGTTAATTACCCCTAAAAAAAAAAAAAAAAAAAAAAAATAGAAAACTTTATAAAAAGATAAATAGGTTTACGATAACGAAACGTATTCAAGTTTATAATTAACTCTCACCGTGTATTGGTATAAAATGAAAAAAAAAAAAAAAAGAATGATATTTAAAAATATCAATGTTATTTTTCCACAGATTTTGACAAGCACGCGAATGACATAAAACAGTTTAATAATCAAAGACGTGATGGAAGATCTGAAAATACGTTTCCTGGAGAAAAAAAATGGACTAAATTAAATACTAATGTGAACAGATTTCCGTTCGTAAATAATAATCGCGAAACTTCCAAATGTCACTTTGAAGACGAAAGAGGTTTATTATCGGAAGTGATCTCTTTAATGAGTAATCAAATAGCATCTTTTGGTAATGCGATCAATAAAATCGGTGTGTTTAGAAATATTTTATCGAGTTACGATGAATCCGACACTTCGCAAATGAATTTAACGTCGAAGAAAAATATGAAAAATAAGTTGACAAATTTAGAAAAGATTTGGACTAATCCTTGCAAAGAATATCTCGCTATTTTGGAAGATGTTAAAAAACTCGATGAAGATGGAATCAAAAATCGTCATTATTCTGTAACTTCCATTTCAAAAGAATCAATGAAGAAATTAGATAAAAACGAACAACGTGTTATCAAACAAGATTTCTTAAATACATTAAGAAAAGACAATAATAATAAGATACGAAATAAATTGAAGCATTTGATCATTAAAAACAAAAATAATCGAAAAAGTTATCTGATAACTGAAAATTCGTTTTACGGATTAGAATTGCAATCTCATCAAAAATCAAACTTAGGTCGACCGTACAAAATACGAAGAAATTTGTTAATCCGTAGTCGTCTCAAAGACAATCAAAATGCGTTCAAACAAAACCTTCTTCCTCCTTTCACGATCGTTAAAAGGAAACGCGATAGGAACTATAAATCTTTTTGTAAAATACCTAGACAGGAAAAAAATAAGAGAACGCTTGGTCGAGTCAAGAATTACGAAAACTTTTGTTCCTTGCCTTTGATAAAAGGAAAGAATTCGAAAATTAGTTTTACGATCGAGAAATCGTCCACATCAAAGGCAATACCCAACGAATCAGATACAAAGACTACGATAACTTTCCTTTCGAACGATTCCTGCGTATCCACCGAAGACAGTTTTACCCTAGAAACGACATGATTACTGAAAACTATTTAAACAACAACTAAAATACTAAAGTTTTTTTTTTAATGAAACATTTATTTTTATTGGGAAAGAAAAGGGGAAAATAAATTACATTTCTCTCAAAATAAGACGACACAGAGTATATAACTTATTTTTTCTTTATTTAATAACTTTTACTATTATTTCGTCAAATAATTGTTGTTTTATCGCTATAGCCGTTTTTAATGATGAATTTGAGAAACTTGACGTAGTTAAAGGTACTACAACAAAATCCAACAGCCGAATATTCCTATAATAATAGATTTGTTTTTTTTTTTTGTAAACTATAGCGAGAACAAAAGGAGTGAAATGGGGGGAATGAAAAAGTATATACGTATGTATTACCAACGTATGCACACGTATAGAATTTTTCAATTGTTCACGCACACGCATACGCACACACACGCGACGCGGACACTCGATGTGATAAACACTAATTTCAAATAGAATTTTCGGTATGACCGTAGATTCCGTATAATTTGTTGCATTCAATAAACATCAGAGTATAATTTCGCATTAATACCTATATAGATAGATATATATATTTATATGTATATATTTATATATATATATTATATAATATATATATTAATTTTCTTACAACCTAAGAAATGAATTGGTAATAAAAGAATTAACAGATTGGAAACACGTTCTTGTAAATAAATAAAATTTTAATACCGTGACAGATGAAAATGACGTGTTATAAGTTTAAATTGAAAAATTGAAAGAGTAATATCTATTGAGAGAGAAAAAGAAAATTAAAATAAGAAAAAAAAAATTATATATATATATAAAAAAGTGTCATACCATTTTCTTTCGAACACACAGGCTTATTGTATGATAACAAAAATATGTTTTATGCGTTAGCTTTATAAAGTTAAGGACGAAGCATAGATAGGAATAATAATTTCCATATTGATCGTGTCAGAATGCATTATTATCATTTAGACGAACGTTTGGGTAGCTTGCTTGTACGTGCAAATTGCTTAAGCAATTTGTAATTGAAGATAGAAGCTGGATATAGCCGTGTATGTCGAATTATTGCTATGGGTACCGATCGTACATTTGTTGCCAGAGACATTCATACATACATATGTAACATTTTTATATGAATGAACATCTTGACACAACAAATGTATCTACTACAATATCAAAGTTACAAACGGACCGTGTGCTTAGCATAAATATACTAAATACTTATATAACTAACGATTAACGTTTGTTTCTTTTATTCATTTTGTTTATTCAAAATACGAAGAATTATCAAACCGGAGCGAAGCAATTTATTAACCGAGGAAATTGCATGGTTTTGAGAAAACCATAATTGTTCATTTTTATTTCAAGATAATTTAATACTTTTATGAATATATAATTTTCTAGCTTCTTTTTTTCTCTTTTTTTTTTAATATAAAATCATTCTTTTAAATTAGTCCGCAGGAGTACATCAGAAAGAAGATCTGGAATGAAAAAAACAGTAGTAGCTTTGTAATGATTACTCTTGCTAAGAATATTTCCAAGATACCTACCCATTTTCGTTAAACGTGAAATTTTACGCGCTAAGAATTTCCAAATATGAAGAATTTTAAAATCATTTTATCCATGCTAGTCATTAATTGAAAGAACACAGATTATTACTCTAAAAGGATAAGATCCGTTGACGCAATACTCACACTTCCTTGTTTCTTATATATTAATTTCCCGAAGGTCTTTTCTTGTTTTTTCTTTTTCTTTTTTTTTTTTTATAGTTTTTTCCTTCTTTTTTTGTTTAATAATTAATGTATGGTGCATTTTTATATTTATTTGTTTATAATGTGAATGTATTTCTTTAAAAAAAAAAAAAATTATAGACATTCCTCATTAAATATCTCATCCAATATCAACGGTTCTCGAAATATTAATTTTTTTTCTTTTATGGACGAATATGTACAAAAATATTTACAGATACATTTACATCACTAACATATACATATACATATATATATTATATATTTTTTTACAAATATACACGCACACACATATACATATATGTATATATATATATGAGAGATGATTATTTTGTGAACAAACTTAAATATTTATACGTTACAGTCGCAATAATTTAATTAAAAATTAATACTTTCTACGACAAATCTTTGATTAAAAAATCTAAGCCGCCAGCAATTACTTGCAACCCTACAATCGCTGAAATAGATCGTTCGAAACTTTAACAACAGGAAATATTTTGAACTGTTCTACAGGAGTGAAAAAGTGTAAGGTTACGTAACTTCATGCCCAAAAGAGCAATTTCTACTGACAGATACGTTAGAGCCAGTATGAATAATCTTAAAATCAGTTCACTTCAACGTGGAACTGCACAGTACGTCGAAATTACATTTTCTACTATGGTAAAGTCTCTAAAGTATATTTCCAAACGGATATAAGTTGTGAACGTATCAGGCGACGTCGTATCGTTCACATATTATGTCATAACAGACTGTAAAAAGGTACGTCCATTGAGGATCATTAAGTGTGATAGGCAATTATTTCAGATTAAGTATCTTCAAACCCGACATCGGCTCGAGTCAACACGGATTTTGAATGTACAAGTCGAGTATCTTCATTCAGAATATCAACTTGAACAAAGGCACGACGTAGGTAATGCTTGTGCAAAATATTGTCATATAAAAATTAAAACTTCCCCATATTCTCGACAACTAAATTAGCAATAAATATAAACGACGACACAAATAGTATTGTATAAAATGTACAATAAGAATTGCATTTGCTTGTTCTTCTTTTCATTTCATTCTTCTTCTTCTTTTTCTTCTTCTTTTTTTTTTCTACCCGATGATTTTAGAGCCACTATTACCTTTTGTCCTTAAAATGAAATAAGCATCGTATTGGACAAATCAGTTCTGTTATGTGTTACTTTAACATGGTATCTAGGTCGACTTAAGATAGTTGTCTTTTAATTCACCCCTTTGGTGTACTCAGCTTTTAGCTGACCAAGCGTTACTTTAATATCATGGAACGTAGGTCTTTTCTCTGGTTGAAGATCCCAGGCCTGAAACGCACATAAATGTTAGATACTTTAACGTTAGGTATAAAGTTTTACGTGAAAACTTTGTTCATCTACCTGTCTCATAATATCATATACTTCGGGCGGACATCCTTCTGGTGGTTCCATTTTGTAACCTTTTTCCACACACTTGACAACGTCGGCTAAAGGCTATGAACGAATATTAATATAAAATATGCCGTTTTTCGAGTATGGTAAGAGTAAAGTAATAATAATAATAAAAGTCATTTTGAAATAATATCTACTTACGATACGTGGATAGGGCACACGTCCAAAGGAATAGATTTCCCAAAGGAGTATTCCGAAACTCCACATGTCAGATTTGTTAGAAAACTTCTGAAAAACAAATGATGAGATGCATCGTCGCGTAAGGAAACGCTTAAAAGCTTTTTTCGTCAGAAGGTAGTACCGGTCATAAAATATTTACGTTCTGCTTTAAAGCCTCAGGGGCGGTCCATTTGATGGGCAACTTTCCACCATCGAGAGAGAAGTTTTCGTCTCGTGCCAAGCCAAAGTCCGAAACTTTGGCGGAATTGTCTTCCGCAACGAGGACATTTCTCGCGGCTAAATCGCGATGAACGACGTGTCTCGACTCCAAGTATGCCATACCCGCACACGTGTCGCTGAAAATAAACCGATTGTTCGTTCAATGGCCAACGAGGTCTCTCTTTTGGGAGGACAAGGGAATATTTTGAAATATCATTGAAATGATAAAAACTATATAATCTATATGGATTACGTACTAGGCAAAATTAATTTGATCTTTTTTAGAAACGTGTAATCGGCCTCTAGATCTCAAGTAATCCACAAGGGATCCCTTGCTCATATATTCCGTAACCAGGTACATGTGTTGATTGTTGAATACAAGACCAAGTAATTTAACGAGATTGTCATGAATCAACGAAGTCATTAAACTCGCCTCAGCAAGAAACCTTTGCGCTGCTTCGCTATTGTCTTTCAACATTTTCACGGCCACTCTTTCGCCCCTATAAACACCGAGCAAAACGTCGCCAAATTCACCTTTACCGATACACTCTCTTAATTCTAATTCGTGAGTCTGGATAACCCAGCCAGCTTCAACGAAGGCTTTGGGATCGACGCAAAAGTCTTGTTTCCCTTGCTTCGGTAAAGATTTAGTTAACTGAGTGCAAAGACCATCGGCATCTTGCTCATAATGTTCGACTAAGAGAGCTAGATTTTCAAAGAACTCTTCGTCGTCGATGGTCAGTTGATTATTCTTGTACTTCACTCTATAGTGTTGCACGCGTCCTTGATAACACACACACAGAGTATAGTCTCCAGGGAAATTCGTCGACTCTCGAACTAGGAACAGACCATCTTCCCTGGGTCGTAACAACCTTTCCGCAGTTTCCCTAGATATTTTCCCATGGAACCATCTGTAACAAGGTAGAGTTTCGAATAAGCATTTCTCATTTAACGGAGCTAAACAACAAAGTACATTTTTATTTCCAAGTTTGAAGAACACATAAAAGCAGTCAATTTCTCATTTTACTTTTTTATCTACATGAGATCAAGCTAACTTTTGAATGAACAAGCTTTTCTTGTAATTCAATCTAACAGGTATATATCATATGACTGAATTGAATCATTGAATGCCTATTATACATGTATATATATATATGTATACGTACGGCATAGCATTGAGCTTGACTTCATGCCTTGGGTTGGCTGATAGAACAGTGGTATTTCCGGGATTCGTGACATTCGAAGTAAGGAGGACCGGTGAGGACGCCGTGTTCAAATGGCTCGTCAGATTTGAGGATGTTACGCTCGAATGCGTAGTCATCGTTGGTGATACTGGATGGGACGGAATGTTGCTCGCTGACAGATTGGATGGAGCGTTGTGCGAGGTGGTGTTCTGAATGAGAGGGTGGCTTGTTACGTTTGAAGGGATCGTATGGTGATTTTGATTGCCATCGAGCTTCGCTTGCCGCGCTGGCGCTGACACATTCGGGTATCCACCACCCGCATTGTGATAAGTTGGCATCGCAACTGCCACAGTGAGCTCTACCGATCTGAAAAGAGAAAAGGAAGGAAAAAAGAAAAAAATAATTCAATAAATTATGACTTTGGAACAAATATAGAACTCCATTATCGAGTTATCCTTCTCATCTTTCGTCTAAAAGCGACGATGTCATTGTCCTTTGCACAATTTCCCCGTTGCATCTACATTTATTTGACATCAGTGAAAAAGGAAGAGAAAGATAGAGAGAAATCGTGACACGAAGTGGACATCCTCGTGCTAATTTCGGGACGTCGCTCGAACGCGTAGGAGTTAATGAGGCTCGTTTCACAAATTAACTTATCCGAAGCGTTGGACATCGAGTCGGCAATTACTAACTGACCATGGACTGCGAGGTGACTCTTTTAAATGCGACAGTTAGTTTTAAGTGACCATTGTCCCTAAGCATACAAGAGCCATTGCTGTTACTACTACCGCTTGCACCGTCCATCCGCACGTTAGAAACACGTTGGACGCTGATACGTGAATATATGTATACATTCGCCGGAGCTTGATGATTCATTCGAAGATATTTTTACAACGATTATGAAATCAATAAGGCATTACTAACATAAACACAAGTGATATTTGACGGGGCTTCCTTTAGCTCCTTAACTAGCTCGTGTAGCATATCCTTTTTAAATATAATTCTCTTATAATAAGATAAACATATTTGGGTATCCTCAAACGTTGAGTCAAAATTACCCCTCTCTCTTTCTGTGTGTCTGGCTTAAATGTAAAATTTATAAATCAACTAAACCAACGCGAGACATCACGTATGAAAGAATAAACTAGACGTTAAAAAGTCAACCAAAAAAGTGAAAGTCACGATGAAACTCAAAAGTCAAGCATTTATGGAAGACTAAAGTAGATGTCATTGAACCAAGCCATATAGTTGCTGTATTATGTGGCATGCAACTCGATTTTCTTTCCTTTTATAATGTCCCTTCCTCAACCTGATAAAAATAAAACTTTGTTATGGAAAAAGAGGAAAAGAATAGATTATACCAGTGGTAAGCTGTGGCACGAAAGGTAACACTATAATTTCTCACTCATTTTCTATGTAAACTATACAAGGAGAAATTCCAACCACCGAGGGAGATACAAATCCAAGAAGCGCAAGCAAATATTGAATAATTCAAGTTGGGTTTATCCTTGGTTAGCGTCTGTAACGAGTGTGGAACGTTATGTCACGTGAAAATGTATAGTTCCCGTACTTGGACTCCATTACTAATATACGATTTGCAGTTATGTAAAACTTACAAATATTATCCTGGTCTTGTCATCCATTAAATAATGTCAAATCTTTCAATAAAATATATGACTTGTTTCATTGATAAACTAGAACAAATATTGATTGAACTTATGATAAAGAATTTGTAAAAATTGTTCTCGCATCAGTAATTTCTATGATAAAATAATAAAGACGATAAACACACACTTACAATTTAAAAAAAAAATAATATCTATCTGATTAATCTTAGAAGAAAATAAATCTGTTTTTTCTTGTATAAGACAAGTTAATCGAATCATAGATCATGGTAACTCTATATTACTATGAACAATTAGTTTATGCGATTCAGTACAATGAATTGAATAATTAAATTACATAATTTTACAATTAGAACGTGCAACGACGAAGAATATAGCGTGCTGTTAAACGGAAAACTTTTCCATGCACAGTATCAACTAAATCCGGAAGGAGAAATGAATTAGTTAATCATATTATATTCACTTAAGTGTATCTCTGCGTGTGGTTTAAAAAAAATACAGCAAGAAATGAGTAAAGACTTGATATATAAGTGTATATATATATACAAATGTATGTATATACACATGTGCTTTTTCTTTCGCATATTGCGCATCATTTCGCGAGTGCATGTCATAGGAATGATGTCATTCAAGGTTAGCCGTACTGTCAAAACGCAGAATGAACTGTCTCGAATCACAGCTGATTGTGAGAGATCCACGTGCACGGGTGACAGAAAAGGGACGACCGTGAGACGAGAAAGGAAAAAAAGAGAGAGAGAGTTTTATGATAGATAACTCGACAGATCTCTTCGACAATATAAATCGTAGAAAAGTGAGACAGAGTTTAGGTTCGAGTGAAAATTATATAAAAGGTGACTATAAAGTATCTACTAGCATTTCTGTTCTGTTTTTTAATTTTTCAAATTATTCCAAACAGATGAAATAATGTTGATACTTAAAATAATTAATGTTTAATTTAATTATAATTATTCGCAAATAATTACAATGATGTATATCATTTTCTAAGTTGACAAATGATCAATTATAATCATTTCGATTCGTCTTACCTAATTTAACTGTTTTTCACTTGAACACCTGGCTTGAATGAAATTCAACTTTCATTCGTAACATGTTGAAAATTGCATAGAAAAAATTATAATGAATTTGATTGCTGCATCGAATCATTCATACGCTACGAACGAGCAATCAAATAGAATTATCAATTCGCTACGAGGAATCATTGATTTGTTACTCGAGTGATAATAGTCGGCGATTTAAATCGATCGACTTAATCTTCGATCAATCAACTTCTTTATTAACGTTATGATTCAAAGTGCTTCCTTACAAATTTTTAATCCTATTTATATTGATACTCATTCAACCAAAGTTCAATCAATTAGATTTGCTCTTTTTGAATAAAACATTTTGTTTTTGTTTACTATTCAAATGATATTTATATACATCCCCGTGCAATGCGTGTAATTGCAATTTTATTTTCATTTCGAATAAATAACAAACGTATTCAATAATAATAATAATACAAGTCAAACACAACAGATCTAAAAAAATATATAAATATAATACAAGTGTATGTAAAAAATATTTTGGCAGGTGTAGAAAACACACAGTTGATCGTCACTAGGATTTATGTGAACGATGCCCTGTCATACTACACGTATATATATATATCTCTTTCTCTCTTTTATTTTGACAATCGAATTTTGGCGCACCAGGTAGATATTACACGATGGAAATAAACAGTAAAATTCTCTTTGGCGATTTTGTTGGTAATTTATGCAAAGCTCATTCGAGACGGTGTCCTGTACGCACGTACCGTACTATTAATATCACCGTTGTGGATCGGTTGAGGGCCGAGATATCTTGGTTACTATAAAAGACGAAAGAGAAAGAGGAAAAGAGAAAGAGAGGAAAAGGAAAGACGGTGAGAGATCGGAATAAGGAAAGAGAAAACGACGACGGGAGGGCTGAGAACGTGCAACAGATTCGTTTGGTTTGCGCGTTGCTCTTTAACAGTACATGTTACTGTACCATGACCCATCGTTTACCACCTGGCATCAAAACGACAATGTGATTGTTCGTTAATATTAAGTGAATTGTTTTTTGTATACGTAGTTTTCTTTCTTCATTTGTTTTATTTTATTTTATATCAACCCCATTTAAAAGTACACCCTTTGGACACTCAAAAGAGGACGAATGCATTCCGGAAACTCAGAAATAGAAACTGCTGAATTTTCTCTCTCTCTCTCGGGATACTTTCGGTTGCCCATCTTATACTCTTTTATTTAATATATGCGTAAATACTTGATAATCTCGAAATATGAGTATCTTTTATTCGATAAATTTCTTTTACTTATATATTTATTAAAATATTAATTATTTTTTATTTTTATGTATATACCCTAGCAGCACAAAATATTGAATACATGTGTATTTAATATTAAAAAGGTATTGAATCTCTTTTTAATAATAAATACATATGTATTCAATATTTTATGATACTAGGATATTAAAAAAAAAAAAAAATCGCAAATCGAACGAAAGTGTTAAATTGTATTTGGTTGAATCGTAAAATATTACCTAGGCTGCAGATTGACCGTCCATCGTTCGATGAATATCGTCCCACTGAAACAACACGACATATGTAAATCTGTTTTGATGGCAAAGCTACTTTACGGTGCGCGTGAGTTAACTTCAAATTAGAAACGATCCGAAAGCGTTCCGCGAAGAATTCTTTTGCGAGAGAAACTCGAAGCTCTTTTGCTTGAAAAAAACATCAGCGTCGTTGGTCATCATCGTCATCGTCATCGTCATCGTTACAATGGTCGTTTTGAAATGATCGAAATAAGACGCGAATCTGATATCACGCGATGCAAGCATTGTAATGAGAGCCCACATGCTAGTAAGCCCGTATAATATAATCAACGCTGGGGTCACCAATTAAAATGCTAAACGAAGGATCGAATGAATCGCTGCAAGACTTTCCTTGTATAATAATTTACTTTTGAAAATTTTTATATATATAGATATAAAAAAATACATATATATATATAGGTATACAATTAAAAGTAACATAGCTTTTTATAATCAAAAATAATTATTAATTAAAAACGAAGTCTTTTTAAGCGTTCTTTTATTACATTTTAATTTCCATAGCTTACAATATACTTCAATTTGCGATTGGAGAGATATAATTTGCAAAAAATTAAAATAAAAAATCATCTTTCTTTACATATTTACAGAGGATGCTATAAGAAAAATTGATTCTGTACCAACACTTTCATTCGACATCGTACGTGTGGTGAATGTCTGTAGAAGAAAGTTCGTTTTTTATGGTAGGTAAATAAGTTAAGTAGTTAATGGATCTTTTGAAAATTTATATTCATAAAAAATTTTCTTAGCAGAAGTATATATATATAAAAGAAATTTATACACAAAGTAAGTATTTATCGAAACGAAGGGAAAGTTGTAGATCTTTGATCGGGAGTTGAATCGGAGCTTTTGATATTTCGATAATGCGACCGTGTAACAACAATCAGCACAAGGTTACGATCTCTACCTCTCACCCTGAGCTCACTCACCAAATACCCGTAATTTTAATTAATTAGGTAAGAAGTGCGTGAGAGAGTTGTAAGTAACGAGCAGAATTAGTTGGATCGCTCACTCGCGAACTCCTTAGAAAGCGCGCCATTATTGTAAATAATCCAACGTGGTTTACCTTCGTATTAAATAAGATAGACAGTGCAAACCAAGGAAAAAAAGGAGAAAAAGAAAAAGAAATATATATGTATATATGAGAGGAAGAACGCTCCATTTACGGTGTACAATAATGCATTGTGACTAAATTTTTCCCCATGTATGGCGTGTGTAGACCGTTAACCGCATAATTAGCCAATAGCTAATTGCTAGAACTCGCATGACTTTATACACTAACATTGACTACCTTGCTACCTTCCAAATGCATTAATTACTTGATTCACACTATTCTTCATTCGTTAATATGATGAGAACATCAATACGAAAATTCTATTCCAATAGATTTAAGCTATATAAGATACTTTATTTTTTATTTATTTTTTATCTTGAAATATTATAATCGAATGAAAAATAGTTGAAGAATTTAGTCTTCAAATTTACTCAATCTATAAAGTAAGTAATGTCTATGACTCTTCAATTAGATATCTTATCATAGCCATTATGTTATTTATTATTATTTAATTTCTTCTTAACAGAGGAAACTTTATTGGATAGATATAAGCTTAGAATACAAACTTAACATAGAATACTCTAACATAAAATATTTATGTTATCGAATAGACTGAAAAATTAGAATTTTATATGATGCATATAAAGATCATTATAAACGTGTAATTATAAAAAGATATATTTGGTATAATTTTAAAGGACAATTCAAGAGGTATAAATCAAAGAAATAATTCTTAGTAATGTCTTTACAATCATTAGATTATTTGCATAAATAAGTTTTTATCAAGCATACTATAAATAATATAATGCTTGACATACATATATAAAATATAGTAAGACCAAATTATAGAAATAGAAAATACAAACTATATAAATATAACTCTTAACAGACATAGTTTGCATGCAATAGTCTGTGCCATTTAAATAACGCCCACTTACACTAGGAAAAAATAATACACCCGGTATAATCCAACGATCGAACGTGGGTCGAAAAATACGCAACGATATTACCAACAAATTATAATGCAATGAACAATCGTTTATGCATTTCCATTTGGAAATAATCGTATGAAAGTGTCTTTGAAATTTCGAACTTACGAGAATCTACTGCAATATACAAGTTTAATCGTCTGCGCGCGAATTTAATCAAAAATATCGAACTTACCTAAGCTCTTAGCCAGCTTATTTCAACGGTGATGAAAACAATCATAGAAAAAACACTTGCACTGTCTCACATAAAACAAATATTTATAAAAACTACACGAAAAAACGTCATAAACACCTTGCGAAACGTCAGACTCACTTCGGGCGGGCGGCCATTTTCCTCCACACGAATCGAATGAAGAGTATCTTTTGCTCCACGGAAAAAACTTAGCTGGAGTTATCTTCAGGCTTACACGAACTAACTGTCAGGCGTGGCAACTTATTCAACTAAATTATGATTAGTTTATTTTTCTGAGTATAGAGTACACTAGTTTCTTCCAATAACAATTTTTCTTTAAACATGCACATCATCTATAAAATGTTTAAGGCAATTTTTCTGCCGTTAATTTTATTAACATAATTTTTTAGAAAAAAATAATTTTTGAAATATATTCCTTTTTACAGAAAATAAAGTCTTTTGAAAATTTCCAAAAGTAGGATGCAAGATTTGAACTTTCATTTTTTAAATGAAATATTATTCATCCAAATTGATTAGGAATTATACTTTGAATTTAGAATCACTGAGATGAATATATTTTAAATATGTTTTCATTAAATTATTAATTTACATTATTAAGAAAATAGGAAAAATATTTGTAATCATAGGCTCGCATAATACTATTTCTTAATCATATTGATTTATTATATTTTTAAAATACATCAAGAGATTAAAAATGAAGTTACTGCAGACCAGGTGATCGTCTAAAATGAGCAGACGTTGCAAATGGACTTTCTTCAGCAAATCCGGCTATTTCCTGAGGTATTATAGCATATTCTTCGACACTAGTGCATGGTCTGCACATGCATTCTAACGGGGCTTTAGTAACAACCTATAAAATAAAAATACAAATATATTAAAACTTTAGACAAAAATAATGTATACACGTAATATTTTAACTTTTGTTGAATTTAAAAATATAAAGAATTAAATAAAATATGATTTGAATCGTAACAAAAAGTATTACAATGATATTTTTAAAAATTATTTTCGAGATATATGTCAATCATCATTTGAATTTCCCGCGATCGTCATCTTCTGGACCTCCAGTACTGGCCGTTTATACACGAAAACAATATGGCGGTGCAGAACTCGTGGTGTCAAACGGTTTGCTGCTAATATCAGTGTGAAAACAACACTTAAAATCAAATTTAAAAAATTTATGGTGTTTTACAAGAAGTTTTTAAGTTCAATAAAGGGTTTAAGGAAATAAACTCAACTTTCGGAATTTTCTCTCTCCTGGTTTTGCTTTGGGACAGAAAAGGGATACACTAGCCTCCCTTTCGCCGCTTTCTTGACAGCACATGCAACTTCTTTCCATTTGCCAAATTTTTGATCCGGACACCTGTAGCGAAAGGTAATTTTAAACTTTATTTTACAATTATTTATATTAATTTCAATAACCAAGATGTGGTATCAGTATATGTGAAATATATATTCAGTTATCAAATATTTTTTTTCAAATAGTATCCAAAACAATCGCTTACTCAAGAATATTAACTTTATTTTAAATTATAATATATTTCCCTAATATAATATCCACTTTATTTATAAAATCATCTGTTTACTATTGACCTATTCAAATAATAATTAAGACATTTTTTCAATCTTAGAATGTTTTCTGTGTTTTCACTTGTAGTATTTCTTTGCTCATAAAAATAAGTTTTGATTTTATTACAAATATTAATGAAATAATATTAAATGATTAAAATTAAAATAAATATTAGTCAATCATACAATCATTACATTAAATCATTGTGATAATTTTCATATTCTTTCAACTCTTTGTTAAAAATAATTTTAATACAATTAGAATATAACTATTTTGAACATTTCTTGTGTAAAAATGAGGTATTATAATTCCTATTGATTTGAACTAAAAGCTGACACAACATTCTTTTAATCACTTTAAGATATTAAGGTTTTAAAATCATTTGTGTACATAATTAAAATATGTTTTATTTTACCTGTAGATAGCTGCTGCAGCGTCCTCTGCAAGCATAACTAGGTATTGGTTTAGGAATACAGCCTGGATATTGGAGAAAGTGTATCACTGGAGTAGCTTGACATTCGTCAATTCCTACGATTGCTTTGGTTTTCTCAAAAAGGGTATACATCACCAAACTCGTTATAACTACACAGTAAGTAAGAAAATTAAACATTATTACATCTAACTTTGAAGTTATATAAAGGGTTAACTATTTCAAATATTTTATATTTGATTATTGAAAATAATTTTGTTTTTATTTACCAATGTGGCACCAAAACATTTTTTTATTATGATACATTCTGCTCAATCTCTGGCACTTTACTGTGCTTGTTGAGCCTTCGCTGTTAGCTTTTATACTCTGCAGGTGTCCATTTGTCCTCCCTTCTCTATACTACACTTCTAAATAATGTTAACGGTGTGTATATCAAATTCAAACAACTATTACATTTTTACCTCCTTTTATGCATATAGTATTTATAATCTTTTACTTAATTCTACAATAAAAGGTTATTGCTATTAGATATTATGTAATCAAAATTTAAAAAAATAATACTATTATTAACAAAATAATGAATGGTATTAATTTTTAATACGTGTTTTTATAATAACAAAATATTAACTATTCATATATTTTTTATATTATTCAATTTTACAATGAAATACTTATGGAAGTATTTCTTTGTGAAAGTATTACCAATTTCAACTCAGAACTTTTTATAGCATTATGATATTATTATTTTATATATATATATATATGAGAAATCATGGTATATTCATATAAATTAATATAAACATTTGAAGAACTTGGAAAGCAGTATTATTGGAATTATATATAATTTTAAATTATTTATTAGTGTTATATTTATAAATACACATAATTAGAAGTATTAATTAACATATAACGATATAAAAACATGTAATATTTTGTTATTTAAAGCAATTATTATTACTACTTCTTTTCTTAAATGACATAATAGCAGTAAACTTTTATATATTCATTTAATAAATTTGTATCATTTATTTAATACGTTTTAGAAGAATTTTATATAAAATTTGATTGAATGTATTAAAAATTACTCCCTTAATCATGGCTTCAAAGTAGTTATACTATTATTTAAAGATCAAATTGAATAGAGCATTAGAAATAATAATATTAAGTCACTAGACCCAACTATCTGATTTATTATTTCCTTTTTTGATATCGTTAATGTATTATATGTTTTTAATATTATTATATATGGATATATAACTTAATTTTGTTCTTAAAAACTTATTTAGATATTACAAAAATTATAGTAAAATTTTGAAAATTGAATTTTATATTTTTCCTAATTTAATTGATACTTTTGTAACTATTGAATTTTCGGTAAAGTACTTTCGTTTACATATTCAAATATTAATAGTATTTGCTTATTATTGCTAATATCTTTTTCTTTCTCTTTCTTTTTCTCGTTTTCATAATAGAATTTATTTAGTAAAGAAAAGTGTTATATGACATTTGGAAAGGTAAAGAATATATAGATAACATATTTTTATGAATATAATTTATTGTAAGCAGTGATACAAGTATCTTCACATTTTTAATTCAAGTTATTAATTATCACAACTTTACATCAATTGAAGTTAATTTTATTTAATATTTCATCTGGAAAAATTTCCACATTTTATACATTTGCATTCTGCAGGCTCTCGTAATTTTATTTCCATAACTCCATCTTCGTCGTTCATTAACTTTATTCCATCTGCATCGTAGCATTGATTTAAAATAACAAGTCTCTCCTTTAAATAACTTTCACGGCAACAATAACATTCCTGAAAAATGGAGAATATATATGTATGTATGTATGTATTTTATTTTATTTTATTTTATAATTCATATGCTTTTTTGCATTATTATATATCATAATTAGTATATACCTTAGCAAATCCAGTAGCAGTAATAACACTTGGTTGTACTTGTGACGTACAAAATCCTTCGCACTTAGTGACTGATATATCACCACTGCATGTTCTCTTTATATGTCCAACTTCATCATATTCATCTATAAAAGAAAGTAGTAAAATTATATTTTCCCTCCTTTATTTTATTTTTATTTTTATCAGTTATATATCTTAATACTTTGTACCTTTGGTAATATGAATTTCTGATTGTAATGTTTCACAATTTTCATCTTCTAATATCTGTGCAATGACACAAAAATTATAACAGGACAAAATAATGATCAAAAATGAGGTGAATTTAATCATTATGGGTATAATATTTAAAGAATTTCTTTTCAGAGGATTAGTTTTCTTTTAGTAAAGATCTGATCAAAATACAAAGGAGAAATGAAACCAGAGAAAAGGAAATACTTGCTTTTATAAGAAAGTAACCCTCTTGCATATAACAGCTTGTGGTGTCGAACCCCTGCTAAGACTTAATAGCAATTGTAACCACTTCTAGCTTTTATGCTATAATGTGCTTGATTTCCTAGCATGATATACTATTTTCAGAATATTTTGCATTATGTATTTAATAGCTTTTTTATGTTTTTATACGTGGTAGGGGTATCGAAGGAACTTGCCTGCCTTTACTAAGACATTTTTTCATCCTGTGTAACTCGTATTTACATTTAGTAATATTAAACAACAGTGTAATGTATAAAATTAGTATATTAAATTATTTAATCGAATATTTATTTTTTAATGCACTTTCTAATGATCATTTCTTGTACATCCTGGACAATTATCCCTTAAGTCATCTTCATTATCAAATAATACACCGCACCAAATACAATAAAAGTACTTTCCACGTAAATATTTTGTTAGAATATCTAATTTTTCGTTAACAGTAAGTTCTTCTTCTTCTTCTTCTTCTATTTCTTCTATTTCTTCTTTTTCTTCTTCTTCTTCTTTCTCTTCTTCTTCTTTTTCTTTCTCTGTGTCATTTAACCAAAACCATGATTCCTGAGGTTCTTCTATATTTGCTTTAGTATCTAGTTGTTGACAAATCTTCTGACTTTTGTATAAATCTAACTTTAACATTTTTTCTAATTCTTTTTCCGCTATTCTTTCTCGAAAATTTTTCATGCGTGAATTATCTAATAGTGTATTCACAATTTTTGGTTTGGTTACTTTTTGTTTTGGTGCTTTGCCTAGTCCATGTCGATTAGCTTTCAATTCAACCCCAATTGGTTCGATAATACCTGATTCTGTTTTTCCAATACCTTGTCCTGGTTTATATCCCATTTTCATAAGCAATGCGAAACCTATAAAAAGAAAAAGAGCAAATAAATAGAACTAATCTCATAAGTTATTAGTAGAACTCACCTTTGTTATTACTTGTTATGGCATTAGACAAGCCCTCTTCTCGTTTTTCATGCTCTATTAAATGTATCGATTTATTTTTTTCTTTCATTTTTGCTTCAATCTCTGCCCTTTTTTTTTCTAATTCAAACTGTCTTCTATCCGTGTGTCTATGAACTAGACTTGGCGTAGCGCATTTCTCAGATAATTCCAAAAATTTATCAGACATATAATCCTCCTCATCTGACATTTTACTTTATTCAGTTATTTTTAAAACTTAATATCAGAAATTGAAGTTTAAAATTGTTTATGTAAACTTTAACCTTAAAAAAAATATCTTTCTTTACGTCAACGTCACTTTTCTATTCTCGTTCAAAATTATTTTCAATTTGATTAAAAACGTTAAAATATTTATTTATTAATAAGAATTTCACATTTACACGGATATCTTTTTAATTTTTAGATAGTTGTCAATACAATGAAATGTATAGGGAATTACTTTAATAGAGAACCAGATTTTGAGGTTAAGTCGTGGCCGTGCATATAATATGTACTAAACGTACAACAAACATAGTATCCCGTAGTGGCGTCATTAATATAATAGAAAAGACTGCATTATAGAAGTTTTTAAAATTAACACTGAATTGATCTATGTCGTGTTTCTTATATTTTAAAAAATGTAATATATTTTAAAAGAAATATTAAAAAGTAGAAAGAATATTAAATTATAGACGATATATAGATAGAATATAGTTAATAAAACTTAGAAGCATATTAAAAATAATCGATACGAAGATTTATTTTAAATATCGTAGCATGATATTTTTAAAAAAGATTTTATATTGACATTCAAGGAAGAAACGCCCGCGCATATTTGAAATTATTAAGATCGGCGTGGAGATAGATCACGTGATGTAATGGGACGCCGCTCGCTCGCACGAAACGAAGAGGACACAAAAGTGAAAGGATTAGACGATATAATATTATGATTCGTCGTTTTTTATATTCACATTAATGAGAAGTAAAAGCTTATTCAGGTTTATAATGTGATATCAGCTTTATTATTAACTTTTTATTTAATCGTTATTTATTCGATTGGTCTTTAATTATAATCGATTAGAATGAACTCGTCTCTTGTAGTACGCTTTAATGCATAATATGTACGTGCTTTAATTATATCATCGTCGTCATCAAGAATTACTCATTTTCATAGAATTCCAAACAAAGTAAGATAAAATTAGTTTAGATCGTTTGCTTTTAAACATCTTTGAATGAATATAGGATTAATAAACGTGACATTATTATATTATCATTAATATTTTTCATATATTCCTCTAGATAGATTTCATTATTTTTCAATAAAATTCATATTAGAAGAGAGAGAGAGAGAGAGAGAGAGAATAACGATAAAAACGTCATTTTATCTATTTAGTTAATTTCCTGTTTCTGATATTTCCCACCGATAGAGACAAGTTCTTGCCAGGCTGCTTGTTCTTTCGTTTGCTAGTTCCATATAACATAACCTATAGCGGTTAAGTTACGGGCTTCAGGTATATTCGCTGCCGTAAGCGATACATGGCACGCACACACACATAGCCGTGTATATGCGCGTACGCGTACGTGTGGTCGAGGATGTTGGATGGCGATTGGCGGCTGTTAACATGGCCGACCGATGCGCGAGTTCAGTTGCGCAGCTGACAATTTTGTCAAACTTCTCCTATACTGACTGGGTTATATACAGTATTACAAATCATTTAATAATTCCAAGTCACTTTGTTCTTGATTTTAGAACAATGTATCTTCAAGAATTATTGTTGTCTTATATGTTGTGTGAGATTAGTGAAAATATATAAACGTATAGAGAGCGTAAAAGCGAAAGGTGGAAGAGTTAGTGCAAGATAGAGAGAAGGAAAGGAGGCGTTAAAAAGAGGACTCGTTTAGAGGGAGGAAAGTGCTAACGTGTAGAGAGGGAAAGAGAAGGACAGTGGCCGATCTGCTTATTTCGAGAAACATACCTATTTCATGTAACTCTGTATAATCAGTTATCAATTTGAGAAGATACGGTTCGAGCAGTGAATTATTTTCTTAAGCAGAAGAAAAATCAAAGTAGAAAGAATAATACGAAACATCTTTTCATTTCGATCCTATCGTACCGAGACGATATAATATTATACGCGAAAAAGAAAATTCTTCAATAAAGAGAAACGAAGAACGATCAAAGGAAAACGACGACAACGACGACTAACGTAATATACTAACAAAGAAAAAGATTTCTTTCCATCGTTGAAATCATGCTAATTTGTCTGTCACGAGGAGGCGTGACGAGTCGTAGGTCGCAAGAGTTTCGAGCACGATTCTTCTCGTGACCGAATTCTGAAGTTCGGGTGTGTACGAAGTACATGGTGCGTGCTTAAGTACATAAAATTAAGAAGAAACGATTGATTGAACTTTATCTCGATGAACAATATAGTAATATTGCGTGCAAATTTTTATCTTCCTCTTCCGCATTTTTTCTCGACAATTTATCGTTAAATAATATTATTACATTTTCAAGGCTATTTTGGAATACAGTTAACTCTGTCTGGTGCATCCAAGATATTCGGCTATGGTTGTAGCCAGTGGTGGATGGGTACAATATGCCAATTATCCTGCTGCTCAGAATAATAACAACCTGAGCTTGAACAACATGCAGGACAATAAGATGGCACCAAAAGTTGTCCTGATTTGCAGGGACAACTCTCATCCGTTTCAAGATCGTACTCTGACTTTGGAAGAGCCTGTGAAAATAGGTCGTTCGGTGGCCAGGGTAAGAGCTGCCCCAAATAATGCAATCTTTGACTGCAGAGTGTTGTCAAGGAATCATGCATTGCTTTGGTATTCTAGTGGCAAATTTTATTTACAAGATACTCGTAGTAGCAATGGAACATTCATTAATAATCAAAGGTTAAGTACTTCTGGTCTAGAATCTGCAGCAGAAGAAGTTTACTCCGGTGACATAGTTCAATTCGGAGTGGATGTTGTGGAAAATTCAAAGAAAGTCACACATGGTTGCATAGTGGCTACGATAAAGCTTTTTCTACCTGATGGCAAAGAAGTTAAAGCTAGTCCAAGCACAGCGGTTACTCCAGTAGGTAGTAATGTTTCTTTGGAGGATTTATATAAGTTGTATCAAGTAATACAAGAAGCTTCTAGAAGGGAAAAGGCACTTAATTCTAAATTAGGACATCTTCAACAATTGGTAGAAAATATTCGCAAAGTTACTAATCTATCATGGAAAGCATTGATAACCGAAGACCGGTTACTATCATGGGTTGAGACTGTTGAAAATCAACTTGTTGTTTATTCAAAAAACTATACCGAAGATAAAATTAGAAATGAACTTGTTAAACTTCAAGAAGAAAAAGCACAATATCAAAATACAGCGAAGGAAGCATTACAAAGAATTTTACAAGAAAAGCTGGAAATTACTAAACGGTTAGTACAAGTCGAAACCCAATTAAGTGAAACTGAAGAAGAAAATCAGAGTTTGCACAGTGTTTCAAAATATGCTCAAAATGAACTACAAGAACTTAGTGTTAAATATGCTGAACTACAAAAGGAACTTAAAGAAACGAATACTAAACTTTTGGAAACTGAAGAAGACTTAAAAGTAGTGAAGCAAAATGCGGAGCTAGAAGTACAAGTTACATTGAATACATTGAAGCGACAAGAGGCAAAAGAACAAAACTTGTTGGCACGATTACAAATGTCTAGATTAAGCTCGGCTCATATTTTTAAGCAGATCACTGCCCTGAGAAATTATATGCAAACTTTGCAAGATATGGATCCAAAATTATTAACTAGTGAACATTTTGATTCGAAGGATGGCGAAAATCCTATCGATGCTATTAATGCAATTTTGAATAAGTTAAATTCTATTAGCCTTGGCAATCTGGAAATGGATTCTGAAAGTAATTTAAAAGAAGAACAAGATAATCAATTGAATTTACAAGATATAGATTCCAATCAATTAAAAGTAGCAAATTCCGAATTATTTAGTTCGAAAGAAAAATTGGACGATATGCCAATGGGACTTGATAACTCAGCGGAGTACATTTTGCCACCTCCATCTAGAAGAACATTAGTGAATGGAAATGCTAACTTAGACAATGCAGATATTAATTTGGATACTGAGATAGACTCCGATGCAACCGATGAAACATGTAGTATTGCTAGTGACGATGTCAGCATAAAGTCAACTATAGAAAACAAAAAAGAAGAACATGCCTTTGGAGAAACTAAAGAGATATGTGTACCTCATAAAGCAGAAGTTAGATTTGCATCTAATGAAAATGGTGAGCAGTTGGAAGTTTATTATGAACCGACAGAACAAATGGAGAAGGAGAGTGAACAATTAGAAAAATCAAGCAATGCCATAGATACTGAAAAATCTTTCAGAGAAATAGAAAATATAACAGAGAAGTATGAACAAATCGAAGAGAAGAATGTTAATGAAAAAGTTGACTTAAATAAGGACTGTGAGGAAGACCATTTAGAGGGAGATTATATTAAGACATTAAAGCCTATGACTAAGAATGAAAGTATGCAGCAGAGTTTGCATTCAAAAGAATACATATTGCACACTCTAATTGGATCTTTTGATTCTTTAAAAGATGAAGACAGTCTAGAAGCGCAACAAGTGGTCAAGCAGGAATTAGAAGAATTAAGAGACTCGTTGATTCATGGACCAACCGAAATTATTATGGATAGGTTGAAAGAATTATATTATCGTGCAAAAAATGAGGCTCAAAGGATGCAGGAAGTTAACGAAGAATTAGTAATAGTAAAAGAAAAGTACAATGCCTTTTTAATCGAAAGGGGAGAACTATTAAAAAAATATACGACATTAAAACAACAGTGTGGTGATCTGCTAAACGCAACCTACACTGTGCCAATACATTACGTTGTTCCGATTGTAATAGCATTAGTGTGCATGTTGCTAGAAAAGATCTTCTAATGTTTTTTTTTTTTTTTGCTTTTGTAAATAATTTTCTTTATCATAAATAATATGGCTCCTTTTTAATTTTTTATCTACAACAATAATAATAATAATAATAATAATAATAATAATAATAATAATAATAATAATAAATAATAACAAAATAATAATAATTAATAATATTATAATAATTAATAATAATAATAATAATAAAAAATTAACATAATATTAATTATAAAATATGTGGTGCAATCACAAACTCAAGATTTATTCTGTACAATTATAAAAAATGGATTTAGGTCTGGACAATTCATATTCTTTATTTGAAAAACTCTTATCGTTTTTTTTTTTTTTTTGTACGATTGAGATTAAACAAATCTGTAAATAGTATGATACACAAATGAATGTATCCTTAATGAACTGAATTTAATAACTTTCAATTTTAATGTTTTTTTTTTTTTTGTCTTTCTTTTCTTTTGACATTTTTTTGGAGGAATGAAAAATCAAAGGCAGTATTATATATAAATATATATATATATATTCTATGAGTACATGCATTGTGTATCGATTCAAAATGAAACTATGGCTAGGTGGAACGTATTTAGAGAAGAAACTAGACAATACCACTGAAAATGTTCAATATGCTGCCAATCTGAATAATCATATCTTTTCAAAGTGTGGTATTTATTATCGGATTACAATGCCACACGCTTCGTGTTAATACGTCGTCGCGATTATTTATAATGCAACGTCTTCGCTGGATCGATCAATGAATGGCAAGTGGCTATGACACAAAATTAACTGAGCAAAGTGTGTTCATCAATATATTATCTCGTAACATTTTTCGTTTGTTATATGTTTTTTTTGTTTTTGTTTTTTTTTTTGTTTCTTTTTTGTTTTTGCCTGCGTATGAAAGTAACAAATTAAAATCAACAAACACACAAAACAAACAAAAAGTAAGAAAAGATATATAAACAAAAATATAACGTTATTTTATAATTGATTATTAATTTGAAATGACGTATATGAACAAATTTTGATAAAATCACAAGTATAAAGATGCTGTAAATCTTTTCTTCTTTTTCTTCAAGACATCTTATTTATCTTTTATCAAATTTCTAATCCATCAATGATATCTATTATACATATTCACTTACACGTATGAATACACACACACAGATATTATAGTCCTTGTACTTTTGAAATGAACATTTTCATTATTTTAAATATATTATCATTTATAGTTACGAAGTGTCGTTTCACAATATATGGCACGTGTTCAGTTATTTGTAAAAAGGTGTATTGCATAGATTTTCACCACAAGCGTGCTTCATGCACAGGCATGTTATTGATTGAGTTGTTTAAAATAAAATTGATTTTGTAATGGTTCTGCAAGTTCTCTATTTAATGGTAGCATATAATTATGATTATATATTTATTCGTTCGTAATCGATGTTTGTCTATACGGATTATTGCTGCAACAGCTTTAAATGCTCACTATCTATATTATTATTTAATTATTATTGAACAAAGAAGAAGAAAATAGAAAAAAAGAAACAGAAGAGATTATATTACAATTTTTATTTGTTTTCAATCTGCATGTTCTATTTATCTCTCTGTTTGCATTGATATCATCACATTAAAAGGCATATCTAATCAAGCGACCTAATAACTATTAAGCAGATTATTCTCTTATATATACTTGTAAACTTTTTTAAAATTAATCGATACAAGGTGTTTTCGATCTCTTACAGCGATAAATTGGGCCTAGGCATCTATATATTGAGAAAAAAAAACAAAAAAGAAAGAAAAAAATCGAAAAAATTAATACAAGAAAAATTTAAAAAAATCAGATTATTGCCAGATGAGTACACACTTTTCCATTGAATTCTTTTTATACAAATATAATCAAATTTAATCGTATCTTCTTAATTTGTTAGTTTTAAATAGAGTGCCATTACTCGATCAATATTTTCCGCGTTAAAAGAATTACAGAGATATAATTATAACAGAGAACACAAGGGGAGAGGGGATAAAAGAAGAGATTAGATTATTTGTGCTGATAATTATGACAGTGGATTAAATACAATAAAAAATTTATTTAAATAAAAAGATAAATTATAAAATAAATTAACAAAAAAAAAAAGAAAATTCTGTGTTTATCTAATTCATTATTATAATTACCGGCACATTTGTTCTTCTTCTTCATGTTTTTCTTTTGAAAGAAAAAAAAAAAAAAAAAAAAAAAAAAATCAAGTAGTCCCCACGATTGTCGTCGTCACTTTCGTCAGTTGAATTTAGAAAAGGGCAAAAGAATCGTGGAAATTTATATAGTAAATCTTACTTATACATAATATTGTTGATATAACCTTAATACTTATGTATAAGTCATATAAGAATGTAATAAAAATTAACTTAATTGAGAATGTACTTTTTCTCATTTTATAAGACCTAAGGCATGTGCAACTACCATAATAGAATAAACGATAAATTATTATTTATAGTTGTATGTATTATCCAAACATTTTTATAAATTAAAATGAAAAGAAAAAAAAAAAGAAAAGAAAAGAAAAGAAAGAACACAAAAGAAAAAGTCTTCATTTAATTGTACAATATTGTGACTTATTATTATTATTATCATCAATGTTTTGTTGTCTAATATTTTATAATTTTTATCAAGTGTATGCTTTTATGACAGATATTTTATAATGTGAAACGTTAATTGAAATAAAAATAATTATGAAAAAGTATACGTGGGATAAACCTGTAGAGTAGTTAGAAAAAGAAGAGTGTATTTAAAAAAAAAAAAAAGAAAAAAAAAATATTAAAAAGCAATCGATTCGAGCTCTATTTTTAAAAAATTACATGTGGTGCAAGACGCGTATCTTTATTTTACATTCTCTTGATAATTCAGCCTGTATTCAGTTTCATATCAATTAGCCATATGTTACTGAAATAGCGTAGACCTCATGAATGAATCTCTTTCGTTAGCATCGTCGTTTTTGCGACGTGATGTGATAGATTATGTAATTTAGATAGGAAAATACGCGCTGATACGTACCTCGCGGTTTGAAGGATCATTTGAATATAAAGACGATGTTGTTTGCTATGCCTTCTTACACGTTAGTGTCGACGTAAGATATATACGTAATAATAGATATGAATTTTTATTCTCTTTGTTTTTCTAACTTCTTATTATTATTTTTTCTTTCTTCAATTACAGGAATTTGTCTCGGGGAAAAAGGAATATTATAATTAATAAAAACGACCCATACACAAGGACAATTATTGTATTATAATCCTGTAATGCTGATGTTAGAGCAATGAAGAAGTTGAATAAAAAGGTGGAAAACTCGTCTAACGAGCAAAATAAAAATATGTCGGATGGACAAGTCACGAATGGCGATACTTCACCAACACGCATTTGTAGAGATTTTCTAAGGAATGTTTGCCATCGAGGGAAACGTTGCAAATATCTTCACGAACGTTCGGACGATGATCCGGTCGAGGGTTACACATTTTGTCACGACTTTCAAAATGGCATGTGCAATTGGCCGGGTTGTAAATTTTTACATTGTACAGAGAACGAAGAAAAACGTTTTCGTGCAACGGGAGAGTTACCAGCTCATGTTTTAAATAGGTTGAAAAGTAATGGTGAAAAGTCAGAGTATCCTCTGTGCAAAGATTTTATTAAAGGTACTTGCCAGAGGACTCAGTGTAAATACAGACACGTAAAGAAGGATGAGCCACAACATAATTTGACGCAAACGGCACATAATAATGCGTCAAGAGCTCCCCATAACTTCAACAGTCCTAACAATAACGAAAGTCGTAGATATGAGGAGGATAGAAAGTGAGTAATGATGACTCATTATAATTGTTTTATTTTTTCATTATTTGCTATTAGAAGTTACATTATTTTTATTTGAATTATAAATTATATTTTTTGTTTAGTTTCCATTGGACGATGGAAGAGCAACACAATTTAGTTGCAAGCAATGGCTACAATACATCACAGCATCCAACAGATTATATAGGCCCACCGGAGCCAAAACGACGAATAGTTTCCGGAGAGACGGTCGTCCACTTCGAAACATCGCAAATTGTTAGTCAACATACAGCACAGCCGGTGACACCAGGCTATTATTATCCAGTAATACCTCGTAATGAAGCAAGGGCTATTGTTTTAGAGGATGAAAATGCGTTGTTACGAAAAAATATAGAAGAATTAAAAAAACAGGTTATTATTTCTATCGGATTCGTAATATACTCTTTAGGTGAATCATCGAATATTAATTAATAGTATTATTATTATTATTATAGGTCAGCGATTTAACCGCAACCAATGAATTTTTGTTGGATCAAAATGCTCAATTGAGAATGTCGGGGAAACGAACTGCAAATGTGACTGCTGTAACAGTTCCAGCGGTTACAATTACAAACACCGTTCCACCGTCTCAAGCTCCCACTCCACAACAAATGGTCAATGCTGCAGTAGCAGCTGGTACGTTACGTACGGTCACAGCAAGTGTAGCTACTGTTCCAGTAAGCATAGCTACGGTCGCACCCGTATCTATTGCCGCGGTGTCCATGGCTCCCGTTTCGATTCCACCACCTATTGTGACCATGGCACAACAGACTATTACGATGAGTGGTTCAGGTCCACAAGCAACAAATCAACAACCACCTAATACGCAACAACCTGCCAGTTTACCTCTTTCAATATCAGGTGCAACCGCACCTTTGGTTTCCTATCCTATTATGACTCAAGAACTTAGGCCTGTTTTGCAGTAATGCATCGACGAAAGAAAGCTTTCGATTTATTAGGTGAGTCAAGGAATAGATAGTTGCTTTCTGTATTTGTGATTTTGGGGGCTCGAACTTTGAACATACGTGTTTACATAATAGCTTGTAAAGCAATGATTAACATGCAGAAAGTAACTAATACAAATGTACCTAGCCGAAATGCGTCTATGTACATCTAAAAGATGTATTTAAAGCATACCAAAAAAGAAAAAAAAATATTGACAGAATTGCTGTTCTTTATATCGGACAATTTATATAATTTATTACGCAGGGTAAACGTAAAAATGCGATTTTTATAGCAGTACAATTTCCATGCACTCTTTTAAGATGTTTGTACATCTTCACATGGTTTGTATATATTGCTTCTTCTTTCTGTCGTTCTAATTTTTCTCGAATATCATATTTTTACTTCTTTTTATAGAAATTAACTCTGCAAAGTAGTAAATGAGGGAAGTATGAATGTAATCGGATAAAGTATGATTGAAATATAAATTGTTTCAAATTTATTAATGCATAAATAATTGATTATTTAGAGATTAGTAAAGAAACAATAAATAATTGACTTTATTTTACATTAAGAACATCACAAAAATATCGATATATGAGTGTAGTCAGTCATTTGCAAGATAGTTATACGAATCTGTAAGAAAAATTGTAAAGTATAAGATCTATGTATAAGAAGGAACTCATTTAGATTATTAAATTAATGTAAGTACAAAATAGAAGGAAATATATTAGGTTACAGAGAAGATTTGTCACCGAGTTAAGATAATAGCGAATCCTGTAATTGTTTTTTTCGTATGCAAGGCTGTAAATATTTTGTTGCTTAACTGTTTTTCCCCCTTCCAAGAAAAATGTTTATACTCCCATTTTCAATAAATAAGTCGACTATTCTTATAAAATAGCAATATTTTAATAAATTAAATACACATCAAGGCCCATTGTGCATATTTATGTAAGCTTTTGACAAAATCGTTGTAGTTTAAATAAGAAAAAAGAAAAAAAAAAAAAGGTAAGAATTCTTATCAATTCTATAATCATAGGGATACATCAAATATTTATAATAAATTATAAGAAAATATTTCAAGTTTATTTATTCTTGCAAATAATTAAAAAAAAATAACAAAATGTTAAAATAGGTAACATATAACAGAAATAGAAGAATTATTGAACTCGAATTTTTTACAAATTCGAGAAAAAAGAAACTTTTAATTAAAAATCCCTAAGCTTTATTATGTGTACCACCACATATTACATTTTTTTTTTTCCATCAATATGAATACAATCTACGATTTCAACAAAATTAACATAAATGCAATTAAGTATAAAGAAGAATAATCTTCATACATAATATAGTCGATAACAACAAATAATATCATATACTGCAATACATATTTGGTAAAAATTAACGTATTATTTTTTCCTTATTTAAATAACATAAAAATATTTAAAATCTGTAATGCCCTACGCAACGTTACAAATTCACTTTTCATCCCATATATTCCTTTTGACAAAAGAATCATATAATTTTTCTCTTGCGTTTGCGAGATTTTTAATTGTATAGAAAGTGAAAGTTGCAATTTAATAATACTTTTTATATATAATATTATTTCTGGTTTGTGTTAGATCTTTGATATGTGCAGTACTGTAATCGTTTATTGTGAAATTTATCTTGCATCTTTCAGTACATATATTTAATTTCCAATTAATTTATATATTTCATTTTTTACTTTGAAATATATAAATATACATATAAAAGAAGATAGCAGTGATTTTTAATGGCAGTGTACCAATGCACATACATATACAATTATTACTTTTTTTTTTTTTTTTTTTTTTTTAGAATATTATTTAGTTATTTAGTTGTTGTTGTTGTTGTTATGATTAATTTTTACATAGAACAATTAAATGATCACACTTGGCTTACAGTTTTTCTCATCTTTATCAGAATTTTTGTATTGTAACTTTAGTTAGAACATTTATGTCTATACTGTTGTTGGCAGAGATTTAAATGATCTATTTCTTAAATACAAAAAGAACAAGAATAATGCTAAAAGAACAGTGCAACAAAAAACAACTATAAAACGTAATTTCCAATGGTATTTCGAACATTTTAATACATTAATTATTTTAATGGTTTGATCTCTGGTATCATGCTCGCTTCCTGAATTTTCAATTACGAAGTTTGCCATTTTTTCTTTCTTTTCTAGAGACATTTGTGCTTCTATTCTTAGTTTTGCTCTAGATTCTGTAAAACCTGAACGTTCCATCAATCTTTGCAATTGTAGATCCTCCTCGCTAAAAAAAAAAAAAATATGAATAATTAGAAGTGTTACTATCGGTTTAATTAAAAACTAGAAATTAATAACTTACCAGGTTACAACAATAATTTTGTGTAAATAATTCAACATGTGTCCTGATTCAAAGAGTAATGGTAATTCCAGGACTATGAAAGGATGGCCTTGTAAAAAATATTTAAATGTTTGCCAGTAGATTTCCTTGTATATATCAGGATGTGTAATGGCATTTAATTTTTTCCTTTTTTCAATATCATTGAAAATTAAATCGCCTAATTTGGCTCTATCAAGTTCTTTTGTACTGAGAAATACCTCAGGTCCAAATTCCTTTTGTATTTTATGCCATGCTGGTTTCCCAGGCTCCACAACTGAAAATATAGAAAAAGAGGATTATTATTATAAAGCAATATTTTCTAGAATTCAAAAAACAGTATTGATTAATTATTATTTCAAATAAGAAACTTTGTATTTTTAAAAAAAGTACATACATACTTTATTTATTCAAGTAGTTTCTACACGTTGACAAATTAAAAAGATGCAAATCATTTTGAAGGACTTTGATCTACGACCTAGAGGGATGTATGTAAAAAAAAAAAATGTTCTTTCAAAATTGCAGAGTATATGTCATGTATATATGTATATATATATTGCAAAGAATGACATTCAAAAAAAAATAATTATATTGTTTAATTACACGAACTATGACATTTTAATAATGCAAAATTTCATTAATTCTTGGCATTTTAATTTTCATATAAGAAAATTCATTTTTTGTTTAAAGTGACATTAGCAATGTAATTAATCATATCTAACCTTTGCGAGCAATTGCATCGGCATCGATGACGGGTATGTCATGTTCGCGAAATACATTAGCTACAGCACTTTTTCCAGTGGCTATTCCACCTGTCAAGCCTACTAGAAACATTATCAATATAATTTAGATTACAAGAAGTCTCTGTGGTTATCTCAGAATTCCGTTACATTAACATCGTCATTACACTTGTCATAGATTTTTTAAAGCTCCAACTACTCCAGTGACAGTAAATTTTCTTTTTCCGTCAAATACTTTGCATTATCAGTAAGTCATCAAAATTACTATATCGTGTTATGAAAGAAATATCCCTAGTAACAAATTCAAGATTATAATGGTCACGCATCCGGTGCATTTAAATTCAAAATATATAAAAGATATTTATATTTTATTGCTTAATGAGATTTTTAATTGTAATTTTAATTATAATACGCAATTATAATTTATTTAAATTATTAGCAAATATTTTATTTAAGTTTGGAAAAAACGATTAATAAATAAATGAAAAATAATAAATAAAGCGGAAGAAGAAGAAGAAAAATGGAAAGAATATTTAAAGAATAACGAAGAAGATATATTAATAGAATATATTGCTAATAGAAATATTACAAATAAAAAAAAAAAAAAAAAAGAAATCAATTGTAAGTATTATTGTAAATTATTCGATATATTTTTGATTTGATATAAATCACAAGTGGATCGAAATGTCAGAGCAGCAGCAAATACATATTTGTTTTTCTCTTTTATTAATAACTCTAATTTATTTAGTTATCAATCCAATCGCTTATATTGTTTACTTAGTATCATTTCCCTTTTCAATAAAATAAAGAATAGATAATATGCAGTAATTTATCATGAGAGTGTGTCACCTCTCTCCAAGAACAGGTAGGTTTACCCCCACCACTATTGGATATGTACGTCGCGCGCCGACTATGTTAGTATTTCAGCCGACAGGCGGCAGGACGGACGTGTGTCGCGCGCGCGCTCCTCGTTCTAGGAACTTTTGCCTTTGGCGTACTGGCAAACTCCTCACAACAGTGTCTACTCTCAAAGATGGCAGATCAATTTGTGTTGTATTATCATGTGACGGTGAAAAGCTCTCGTTGATAAGACGGTACGTGCGTAAACTGTCGTAGATTTTCTTCCTGTGGAAGGATCGCATTCCACAACGTCGAAAATCGGCGCGATGGCGGACATGAAGAGTCCACCGTTCAGTGATATTAAGAGGCCTGAGGAGGTGGTGGCGATGGCGATGAACGACAGCTTGAAATTCGCCGTCCTGATCGGCTTGATTGAAGTGGGACAGGTGTCTAATCGGGAAGTTGTCAACACGGTGCTTCATTTGGTGAGTGATATTTTTTTTTACCAACGTCAATGTCATTTTTATAGTGGTCAAAGGGGAGCCTAGTTTGACCAGTGTCGTATCATACGACGTACCCGCCGGCATCTTCGGGGGTGGGTTGAGGGAGGAGTGAAGAAAGACAGAGAATATCACGTTCTCTCTTTCTCCCTTTCTCTCATTCTCTCTCTCTCTCTCTCTCCCCCTTTCTTGCTTGCTCCCTCGTTCTACTCGTCGGTCAAATCCTTGTGTCAAGGTGAACTGTCAAACGCGCGCCTCGCCGTCGTCGCTGCATAGTCGTTTTTCCGATACGCAGTGCTCATTACGTGCTACTACCTCAAGAACGACCACGCGTTTTCAATCTAAACTTATTATTTATTTTATCAAAAGGAAAAAAAAAATATATCAAACGTATAATATATACATGAAAAGTAACCTGTATTTAGCTTATCTTTTTAAAAAATATTTTCATAATAGTCGTGGATGTTGAAAAAAAAAAGAAAAAAAAAATAATAAAACAAGGTCGGTCGTGTTTTAATCAAATCGTCGTTTCTCGACTATAATAGTATCGATCGAGATTTATCTTGAAAGATCATAATTATATCGATTATCGTTCGTCGTGGATATAAGTTAGTATTTCATTTAGATCACATTATTCGTTTCATTACTTTTATTCTTATTCTCGTCAGAAGCGTTATTTCATGCGAATCCATTTAGCAAACTTTTCGACGTGTTCGTCATTCGACAAATTGACCTCGGGCGTTTGTTTTCATCCAACTGTCGAAAAATTAATTAACGAAATATGACGATACTGCTGCTACTGCTGCTGATCAAGCGCGCGCGAATATGGTCCTGGTCGCCGTTTCTTTGACAACGAAATCGATTGAAAAATATTAATAAAATTTCTTCTGGACGTTTGGTTCTTTGAAGAAAGAAAGAAAGAAAGAAAGAAAGAAAAATAGNAAAAAAAAAAAAATACTACCAACTTGTACACGCTAATCATTTCAGCTTTACTTTGGATTCTTTTAGGTGTCACGTACGTCGTATATACACAAAGGAAAAATGTAGACGAAGATTAGTTGAAGAAAAGAAAGAACGAAAAATAAAAAAAATAAAAATAAATAAATGTAGAAGAAATAAATAAGAAGAAAAGGGTAGAGCCAAAAAAAGGATCGATGTGTACTGTAGTACCATTTATTTTGATATATTTCTTTCGCGCGCGTGATCATTCATTGAACACCCCCCAACATATAAAAGAATGTTATTATTAGTAATAATTCATTTTCGATTTCACTTCGTATTTTGAAACAACGAACGTAATTTACCTAAATTTAATAGAAGAATTATGAAATACACGTTTTTTCATTTGTATTGGTACATGAATAGAAAAATGACGTAATCGTTATTTTTATATTTCTTTTTTTTCTTATTTCCATTTTTTGAATCATCGTCATAGTCAAGTTATTGTAGTTTATATGTTACGTTTGTGCAATATTTTTCTATTCATTTATTTATATGTATATACACAAACACGTTTTTTTTTTTTAATTTTATATCAATGCATATATCACGATGTCGAAAATATTATGAAAATATCGACAATTTTTTCCTACACTTTTTATTTGCATATATATATTTATATATATATAATATATAAAATTAATATATATTATTATATAATATATTATATAAATATATAAATAATATATATAATTAATATTTATAATTATAATATTATAATATTATTAACATATATATTATACATATATAATATAACATTAATATTATTATTATTATTATTATTATTATTATTATTATTATTATTATTATTATTATTAATTTAATGTTAATTTTAAAATTAATATTAAATTTAAAAAATTAAAAGATTAAAAAATATTAATTAAATTATTATAAAATTAATATTATATAACATTATAATATTAATATATATATAGGGAGAGAAATAAAGAAATTATTTAATTTTTTTATGGTTAAAAATCGATTAATAAATTAAATAAACATTGTTTAATATTATAATAAAATCTCTAATGACCGAAATAATCTTTGATAACGATTATTTGTACTAACCTTGTTATCTATCAAATGATAATATTTCATATCTTAGCTTAATACGATATATTTACTGGTTTCAATTAGAAAAAGGTGTAAAAAGAATAAGCAATATATATATATATATATATATATATATAGAGAGAGAGAGAGAGAGAGAAAGATAAAACCAGATATTTTACGTAATATAGACTTTAGAAATATCTTAACATTTGATTTTTATTCTTCCTTTCCTTTTTGATTATAGATTTTTTTTAATTTCTTAGTCATGTTACGTCATAAAAAAAGAATATCTCTAGCGAAGGTGTAGTAATCATTTGAAATATTTCCTTGTACGAATAAATGAAGAAATGAACGAATGGACGAACGAACGAACGAACGAACGAACGAACGAACGTACGTAAAAATGTGTGAAGAAATGATCGTTTTAAAAAAAAGAAAAGACAAATAACAGACGCGTGGCACCGATTAATCTTTTCCTACGATGCGTACTACGTGTTGAACGATTTTCTTTTCCTTTGCTTTTTTTTTTCTTCTTCTTCTTTTTCTTTTTCCTTTCATCGATACCTACTGGTCAGGAATAGCCATAAGCTTTTAATGAAAGCTTTCGTCTAACGCTTTTTTTTTTTTCAGTAAGTAATTAAGTCCTTTCAACTATACGATCGTAATCAATTTGTCTTCAATCGAAACGTTTAACTCTTTGTTATTTTCATTAATTTAGTTGTACGTTTTATTTCTTTGATTATTTGTTACTCGTTTTGATAGAACAGAAGTGATTAATAAAAGGATATTTATATATTATTTATCGAACTGAAGAATATAACGATATTATGTCAACGAATTATTATCTCATCAAATAAATAAGATTAAGCATTGTGATTTATTTGTTTTATTTATTAATCTTTCAATAACGTTAATATTAATTTGTATTGAAAAATCTTAATAATTATATGAATGACGTTTATTTGAAGGTAGTGTTATTGAATGCATAGGAATTATTAACGATCTTCTTTCATTTTATCTTTTGTAATTATCTCAAATAGGAAAACCAAATTTAATTTTTTTTACGGAAACACATTTGAAATGATAATAAAAACAATTCGGGGGATGGGGGTGGGGTGCTGGGGAAATATTCAAAATTGTGGTTTAATTTTTCACTTATAATTACAATAAAAAGGATGAATCAGTTTTTAACGTTTGAGTTAATTACAAATGAAATGAGTCTAATTCAAATGAAATTGTTCAATAATTTTTCGAGTTATCATGGATGTAAGTTTGGACAAAAAAAAAAAGAAAATAATAAAGTTTTGTTAGCGTATATAAAAGGTTCAACCCCTAATCATGCATATCCTCGAACATTCATAACTTCCACAATTTTCTAGATAACTCTCCAGTTGAAACACGAAAAAACGAACAGTGAAAATTAGCATGCAAAAAGAAAAAGAAAAAAAAAACAACAACAACAAAAAGCATCCATTTATCTGACCGAATAAATGAGAGAATCCTACGTTCATTACGTTTGTCAAAGTATTACAATTTAACAGAAAATGAAAAAGTAAGAGAAATGAAAACCGAGATAGAAACATCTGACATAAAAATTGTCAAAAACATAAACGAACAGTTCTAACAACTACGTTCTTAAGTTTTGTATACTATGATTAATAACTTTTGATGTGCGGAAGAAAATGAAAAGTAATTATACAAGAGACTAATAAAAATATGCAGTTGTATTAGAATGGTTTTTTCAATTCTGGAAAAGATAAGTAAATTGTATCAATATGAATCTGAATTGATTTTATAATATACTCCAATTGTTTATTTTAATTGTCGATATTAAATTTATAATTTTTTTCTGTATATGAAGAAACTCATATCAAACTTCTGTCCCATATC